TTCCCGATGTCAGCGGGCATATCGTCACCGCATCAGATTAAAATTGGATTTTTCAACAGACACCGGACATTTTCCTTTTATCAAAACAGACCGAAGGGTACATCAGGGTTACCCTTCTAGACTTGTACTTACGTTGGACGGTGGATCTCCTGATGATACTCTCCAAGAATGTGTTCTGTGGGGCCACTAGGCCCCGTCGCGACGTGGGCATGGTTCACCAAAAAAACACCTCTCACAAAGTTACCGACGATATATCCTAGGGCTTAGATCCAGACATGGGCATCTCCACGCCAGTTGTTGGTATACAATCCATGATTTTGCCGTCGTGAAAAGAAAAACATTGTTGCCGAAAGCAGCGAGTTATGACGTTCTCGCGATGGCATAGCGCTGCGCTCGTCTCGTCTGTGCGGGCGATATCTGCGAAATTACGGTTCTGATCAACCTACGGCCTTGTGCTTGCTGACGGGGCGTTCATTATTCATGCTCGTATCACATGCTGGCATCACAAACCAATAGACGCGTGCGTTCTGCTCGTGCCTCTGAGCGGTACTACAGTACAAGCCGTAAATCGCCCACAGCAGACGGCACCGCTGTAACCATGGCAACCAAATTCACGCTATACGGTAAGACTAGGGTGAGACTGGGCCCCGCCTCGAGATGTACTCAGGTAAGCCTATACACACAGCGATGACACAGCGATCTAACCAGCCTGATTCCCACGAAGAGGAAGGGGAGGTCATCGTGGGATGAGACGTCAAAATTTGTACATGCTCTTGAGGCGAAGTAAAAACAAAATCGTTGCAGCAGTCAATACGCTACTGGCTGCGTGCCAGCGTGCCAGTTAATTGACGGCACAGTAACAACTCCCTCACAGCATCACCAATAACGTTCGCATAATCACTCTCAGCGTTATGATCGCAGAGTGGTTTTCATCTTGGTTTCACGATGATGTGACCATCATAATTCAAGTGTCGCCGAGTTCGAAGGTCTGCGGCGTTGATGGTACTTACACATAATGCACAGCATGCCAAAGCTGTTCCAGCGTTCAATCGCGGAGGTTTATTCGAAACAATAGCAATAACATTACGTTCAGATTATTTTCCAAAAAAGACGACCGTATGTGTCTTTATGTCACTATCATTTTGTAAATATTGAGCGTGAGAATATAATTTTAATATTAATGGTCAAAACGGGCAAGTGCACTGAGTGCTGAAAAAAATCAGGAACCTCAAGTGAATTCAAAAACACAAAAGTAGTCAAAAATGTGAAACAAGATCTGAAACGGTTCATTTCGATAAGTGCAGGCTGAAGATGGTCATGTAAAAACACACCAAACAAACTAAAAAAGACCACAACGCTCTTTTGAATACATGTACCTCAGAGAAATCACAGTTAATGGAGACCCCTGAAAAATACAAGCAATGACGGAATGAAACTAAGACGCGGCCGAGGAGTCTCTGCCATAGCGGCCAAGCGCCTGATTCGCGGCCCGACCTATAACAGCGGCAAAACTATAAAGGCCCATTTTGTTCTCCTTCCTCCGTCGCCACCACTCTTCATTTTTAGTGCAATGAGTACAATTTCCTAAAAGGTGACATACATTCTAACAGTCCCGATGTTGATGACCTGATACATTCCCGTTGTCCAAATGACACTTTTCTTGGTCAGTATGGCAGTGATGTAGTCGAGTCCACCTCATCTGAGTCGGAGCCGAGCCGAGTCCACGAAGGCTCGAGTCCGAGCCAAGTCCGAGTCCATTTGTGTCCAAGTCCGGCTCAGATCCTAGTCCAAATGGTACTACAGGGCTGAGAGTGAGTCGATGCTTCACGCAGGACGCGTGCGCGCACGAATACAGCAACTGTCGAATCAGTCGGTCTCTTGCGATTATTCTACAGTTCAGTAATCTATCTAAGAGAGATGTTCTCAGGAAAGATGTTTAAATAAGAGAAAAGACGCACAACCGTTTTTGAAAAACAATGTCACTTTTTTTTTCCTCAAGTCCAACACAGTTTTTTTTTAATGAACTCGATTTGAGTCTAACATGCAGGTAGTCCGAGCCAGCCACTAGCCGAGTCCGAGCCAAGCCGAATCCAAAAGGCCACGAGTCCGAGCCGACTCAGCCGAGTCACGAGTCCCAAAAAGATGGACTCGGTCTCCTGTCCGGATTCGAGTTCTCAATTCAAATCACTGCAAAATGACAGTTTTGCCAAAAATTTCCGAGTCAAAATGACCCCGAAAATTATCCAATGAAGTATCATTTTGACACAGAAATGTGTCTTTTCGACCTGGAAGTGTGCCATTTTGACCCCGAAGTATCAGGTCAAAATATGCCCCAGATTTCGGGTCAAATCTGATCGGGGACATTTACAGAGTGTTAAGAGTTTCCGATGGTTTTAGTTGTTTAACTCTTTGACCACAGGGAGCCGATATCGGCTCGAAATTCATTGCGTGTTGTTTTAAATCCGTCTTAAGGCAATAATTTTGGTAGTCAATGAGTAAACCTACTAATACTGAAAAAATATAAGGAATGCCTTAACCCTCACTTTTCCCGATTAATAACTGGTAACGGCAGGCTCCTTCAAATCAAGCACCACCCAATGCACCACATGCACAGCTATAGCCTATCATCAGTAAATGGTGTGATGTTGTGAATGAATAGCAGTAGGCCCTATACGCCCTCTGGAGTTTTAAGTAGCTTTCGGCCTTTGAGGTAACTAATTGTGGTCCACATTAATTGATTTTATTCCAATATACAACCGATTCCCAACAGGCGCAGTGAAGCCACAACGGATGTGACGCCTATCAGCAAGCTTGGATCAAATTCAGTCTTGTGAACATCGGCAGCATTACCCAGGAAATACCTCACCGGGGAGCATTAGCTTGAAATAGGCCCTACATGCGGTTGAGGTTTGTTCGGAATTTCCTGGGTACGTATAGCACTGCTGAGTTCCCAGGATTGGAACTCAGACTAAACCCGGTCTTGGGCGAAGACTGTGAGGTGACCGGTGTTGGTTCAAAGCGCTCTGTTGTTCAGAGTGACAAAAGGCGAGAAAATCCAGAGAGAAAGTTTTGGCCTCCATGCCAATTCCAAATTTGCCTCAGTAGCTACAGTCTGCTGGCTGCAAGTCCGACAAGTTCAAGACTCTGCTGGCTGCAACTCGTTCGACAATTTTCAAGTCAAATATCACAATTATTGTAAGGGTGTGGCCTTGTGTTGGGCAATCGCAAACGATAGTCACAAATTCAAAGTCCCAATTGCAAATGTTTTTTTTTTTTTTATACACAAGGCTGCAAAACTTAATCGTGCATCGAGTCCACGGACCACGTCTGACGAGTTTATCTTTAACTTTCACCTTGTCCATAACATAAATTGTATGTGCTGTGTGTGCAATTGAACAGCCGCGGCTGACTGCTCATGGCAATTAAGGAAGAAAACTGTTGCAATTCAATAAACTGATAACACAAACTAGTTTAATGATTCGCAATATACTGAACTATTGAGGCACGCAAATAAAATTAGTGGCAAAAAAAGGATGGAAAACATTCCCAGAAGGGTGCTAAGAGAAAGAGGGATGATTCTGAAACAAACTAAGTCAATACGCTTACACTCGGTCATGGGCGTCGCGAGAGGGGCGGGGGTGGCGCTTGTCTCCCCCCCCCCCCCCCCGAAAACAAGAAAGAAAAAAAAGAAAAAAAAGAAGGGGAAAAAAAGAAGGGGAAAAAAGAGGTGCGAAGCCATATTGCTGTTTATTTGATGGGGGGAGGGGGGCAAATGATCCCCTGCTCGCCGATCGCTCGCCAATCGCTGTTGCAAAGTGGTGGACGCTTGCATGCTGTCTGTGCTTATGGCAAGGAAAAATCATTTCAGATGTCCACATGAATTACAATTTCTAATTTTTATCGTTTTCGTTTCTTATTTTTTACTAATAGAGATGTGAAACAATTGCGCAGTTTGAATATATTACATTTCTATAGAACATGTTATATTTGCTAACAAATTTGATGTTGTGGTCAAGCGATGCAAACTATCTCCGTTTCTACCACAGCAGCTCCTGCCCCCATCCGGGGTCTACCCGATGTTCCCGATACCTATTTCTCAAAATCCATAGGGTTAGGGTTAGGGAACATAGGTATTGGGGAACATAGGTATGCACCTCCACCCCCCCCCCCCAAAAAAAACCTTGTCAAAATATCTTATATTGTATAATTCTACTTGCAAATTATAGCGCATCTACACATCAGTGCTTTTTCCTGACTATCAACATTACCCAAAAGTGAAAACAAAAATATATCACACAGTCGCTACAATCACCCATGACGCAGATAAAGAGAGGTGCATAATTTCTAGGTAAGACGCTCAAGGATATACACGATTCTTCAATTATATTACTGTTGCCACGCTGGTAAACCCGTCCTGTCGGATATTGGTCATTGCACGAATTCATACACTACACACACCTCATGTTCTAGATGTAGGTCTAATAGTCGTCTGTATTCCACTAATATAGTGATAACGTTAAATCAAAATGTTGAGATTTACGTTTGAAAATTCAACAGCACACACTTTATTTCCCTTAATTTTTTTTCCCAAACTGATTTCCTAAATCTAAATGAATTTGTAATTTTGTGCATTTATCGCGATACAACGTCGGGGGATCGGCTATCAATGGTAAGTTCACCTAATTAAAGAAAGCACGATTTGAGGTCAACTTTGTCAAGACTATTGAATTCTAAATAACAGAGGCTTTCCAAGATCAAGGCCCAGAATCCCAGTAGATAATCTGGAGGGGGCTCAGGGTGGGGGATTAATTGCAACACTCCCCCCCCCCCCCCGAGAATGTCCCCGGTCCCCCGCGTGCTTTTGGCACGCCTTCACTCAAACCCCCCTTCATATCAACCCACCCCCCCCCCCTTCCCCCGTTTCCTCAGTGAAAGCTAGATCCACCCCTGATCATCCACATGACAGACCGTTAAGGATCATGACACGCGTTGACACATTCTTTGATGCACTTTCTTCTATTCTTCAAGATCGACGGATCGATCAATCAGAAAGAATAATGAATTAACTCACTTGACACTTTTATTACGATTTACACGTGCCCTATTCCAACTCCCCTTTCATTCGAGTATAGTGAACAGCAACGGCGCACAAAAGAAACAAAAACGACAAGCGTCAACCAACATCGCGTGATGAGAAAATCAACATCGCTGATGAGGACACCATTGTAGAATTCAATAAACGGACAAAGTGGTTTTAGATTTCGTATTTAGTTCTTTATAAATTTCTCAAGTGGAGACCATGCACCCCGTATAACTGTGACGCACAGCAGTGACAACACACATCATGAGACTCCATTGTATTGTCCGTTATGAAAAAATATTGTTACTAACAAGTACCAATAAAGCAATATGAAAACATGAACCACGATTCCACGAAATGGACAAACCTGCAACTCATTTACCCGCGCTCTTCAATAAAATACTTCATTGGAAAAGTAGCAGCATAATATTGGCTGTCCTCTTGTGCAAAGAGTATCGACATAATTAATTTATTTTGAATTCAAAACCCGATGAATGGTATAAATTGTTAAATTCTTCAATAATTTCAATAATTGAATCTGAATACACCGACCACCAAAATGGTGTTACAACTTTTACATTATTTACAAAATTCACTTAATAACAAAATCAATGAAGCCTAAATGTAAACATGCCAGTTCGGATATACTACTTCTCGTGTACACGTACACCAAATAATCAATTTTAATAAGTTGAAATATGAATAGTTCAGTCTGCATCTTTGCTGAGGGCTAAGGCTGATCACTGATCAATAATTCAATTCAATGTTATACAGGATGCACCAATGCACGCTTCTGTCTTACAGCCATGACAGCTGTGCATGTGCCCGTTTGATACAAAAAAGCCACAAGTCAAAAACCACCACATCCAGTAAATTGTACTTGTAGCAAATCCAGCCTCTCTGGGCAGTGGCAACACTCCGCCCGCACTAATTATATTTGCACTTTTCGAGTGGGCACACATTAGTCAGAAAGACATTTCAGATATTGTACACATTATTGCTAGTCACGCATAAAATTGCCGGGTGCGACCATGATTAATTAATGACAGGTGCGAATACAAAATGGTCCAAGTTCAATCTCTAGCGAGTCTTGTTGGGACGTCGCACCTTGACAGGTGTGGCAATTAAAACTGGAGAGGGACACCAAATACAATGCATGTACGCACATATTGTGCACTGTTTGAAAACGCTCAATGGCAGTGGGCGGCAATTTGCGCCTCCATAATATCCAGATCCTGGGTGATTTTGGCTAATTTCTCCTCATCCATCTCAAACCGGACCACCTCTGCCTCCTAGAAAAAAGGTAAAAAACAAATAATAATATTTTAATAACGTGCTTCTTGTAATGCGTACATATCCACCATTTTTGGTGCTACATCATTATTCAGGCATGCAACTGGGAATTTAAAGGAAAAAAAACAAGGAAATTCCAAACCTCACAAGACTTTGTACAGTGTTTTTCAATTTGTAATTACATTCATGAGTAGTCAAAAACGAGGAAATCAGCGGATCCTACGAAAAGTTGCATGCCTGATTATTACCCTGCTCATTGGGCCCATGAAACATTCCAAAGACAATCTCAGCTCCCTGGGGAGTATACAGCTTGATGCTGCCTATACAGCTTGATGCTGCCATTCCAGTGCAAAGGACCTGAAGTCAATTACAATAACCATCTCTGCCCTCACAGGTACCCATTCACTCCTGGGTGGGGAGAAGCAATGCGTGGCAAAGTGCCTTGCCCAACGGCACATGCCCCACAACCACTAAGGCTGAACTCAAACCCATAACCTGCAGAATTACCCGCAGACCATGAGTTCAATGCTCCAGACTGTGAGGCTATACGGCGCTCCACATAGATACATCATTCTTTAAATAATGATTTCTTTACGTGGGTTCTCCTAAATTAAAATGAAAATTTGAGGCATCGTGAAACAGCCTTTAAGTTTATATGTAGGATGGACAGGGTATATATAAAGTAAGTTAGAAAAAAAAACAGACCACATGTATGAAAACATTATCAATCTTAACACTGTTTGTATGACTGCAATCTGAAGAGTGATTTATCAGCTTTCCATATGAAATGACTTAACTTACACCTAGTACCTCTGCAGTAGGCATAATATGGTAACTGGCCACCAATGATTAAATAATATGATACAGGTGATCCGATTTTCATTCATGAGGAAAGTTTTTAGATATTCTACTCTTTTTTTTTAGGATGACACAAAGGGCAAAGTGACTTTTCCCTTATCTCCAACGAGTGATACTGGAAATTCACTCTGTACGACCAAAACTTGGTATATGAAAGATTAAGGTTTCGCTGGACTTTTGACTGAAATATTTCTGTTTCAAAGTATTTCAGTCAAAAATAAGAGTGATTTTCACTCTGACTCATCTAGAGTTGTCGTCATGTTAATTACTACTGTGACCTTCTGACTTTCATTTGCGTGACTCACTGAAAACATACTTAAGACTTACTGAAAACATACCTTATCTGAGTTATTTTCAGCGAGTTGCAGCTCTACAATAGCCGTGGGCGTATTGATTTGATCAATGTGCCTGCCTTGGCTTTTGATGTCGATCCGCCAACTCATGCTACGAAGACCGTTGCCCCACATACTCTGGTGCAAGTAAAAGGACAAGCAAAATATTACTACATTGTAGTCCACTAAATCAAAAGTACATTGTAAATGCAAAGCCTTACTGATAATATACATACTGCGTAAGGGGACAAAGCAATTCCTTTTGTGTGAAAAAGCCAGTAAAATCTTTAGAGGAAGATTTTTCATATGATCATTAAGTAGGGATCACATTATCTATTATGAGTTTAAAGGGAATATACATCATTTGCTTTTGCTGTAATTTTCAGAAATGGATGGAATTGGGGGGTTGGAAATATATAGCAAATATAGTTACACTGACTTTTTAGAGGTTTAGGGTTCGAAAATGCTATAAAAACCAAGAAAAACAATCATTTTCCTGTAGTCTGGTTCCCTGACTCCATATAAGAAGAAACAGAGCAGTTTACATACATTGGGGAATTGTAAGGTCAGGGAACCAGAAGCTGGCTCGTACCCGTTCATAGGTTTGTAATCGATTGCAAACAAGTGCGATGGTCAATTAGGGCCAGTATTTGAAAAAAAGCCAGTTTTGTCCAACGCAGATCGGCTGATCAGCGTTGGAAATTGATACAAAAATACCACTTTTCTTGAAAATGACAGTATACCAGGTGCCATGATTTTACAGGATGCTTTACACTGTCATTCACTAACAGTCCAGCAAGGTATTTCAAAATGATTTGGTAGTTTTATTTTTTGATGTTTGCAAATGTTGTATTTTCCCTTTAAGGGAACCAAAATCACATTGCATGCCAGTTTATCCAGATTCATGCCTTGATGTACATGTACTTGCACATGAAACTCTACTCCATTTATTTGGATGGGCTGGATAGAAAGGGATCCAACATGCACATGTATGTGGTTCATTCTATAAATTAAGGATCTAAAGTGTGACATTTCCTGTCCCCTGTCAACTCTGAACTTTGTAATTTGCCATTCAAGTGATGACTTCAGTCACATAATCACTCTTGGAGGAAGAATACATTAAAGGTATCTACAATTGCTCTGTTTCATCTGAAGTAGGGTCAGGGAACCAGACAAGATAAGCATTTTTTTCTTTCTTTGTTTTCCCAGCATCTATGAACACAAAACATTAAACAGGTCAGCTTAACCATATTTGCTATAAAATACTAACCCCAAATCCATCCATTTCTGAAATGTTGAATAGGCCTATTCTTTCTGCAATTCCACACAAGTGTGACATGAAGGTCAAAATTTCAAACAGATTTGTTTTCTCAAATATTCTCCCAAAATTGATAGGGTATATTCTGAAGTTTCTAGAAATAACTGAACCATTGTTCTAGGCCAATTATTTTCTAAGTTACAGCACTTTGAGGTTGACACTCTGTTTATGCCAAAAATCATGGGTTAGAACACAAAAGTTATTTCTTTTAGTAACTTCCATTAATCTAATAATATTCAATTTTGTGTGTGTAAAAAAAACAGCTCTCAGATTCTATTTTAGGAAAATAAATTATGTATATGAAATTAATGTTAAATACGCAGGATGCGTCATTACAGTAACCCTTAGGCTTGGCGTAATGTCAGTCACAAAACAAACAATGAATTTTCCCATAAACATGATAAAAGCATACTGGATAGCAATTAAAATCTGCCCTTGATTTTTTTCTTAGTACAGGGTCTGGGTAGTGCAACAATGTTATCAAGTGGGAAAATAATTTTTATTTAAAGATTTTGTCAATTGAACTAAAGTGTAATGTCAGTCACGCATACTGCATTTGTATGTATTTTGTATATTTTATTTTATGACATTTAATGCACGTTCCAGTCTTTAAACATCTTAAAGTTGTATGTATTCCTTAAAATATAGCATAAACAGTTAGCTGACACTTCTCTTGTTGACAGAAAAGGTATTGTTCTTGTGTTAATTTGTCAATTAACAAGTGTAATGAATCCAATGCGTGATGTCAGCCACGGTAATGTCAGTCACGGAGGTTAATTTTCATTTTTTTAAAAAAATATTCATGAAGAGTGTTGCCCATCTTACTAAATGTGTTGGTTACCCTATCAGCTAATATGCTAATATGATTTTGGATCTGTAGCACTTTCAACTCGAAGAGAAATTGTAAAAACATGTTTGACATTTTTGGGTTGCGTCACTTTTTGCAATGTCAGTCAAGGCAGTAAACAACCCCCCTTGTCATAAAAGCTGAACATGAAATTTCAAAGTTTCAATACTGTATTGTGTATTCAGGTCCTAGTAACCCCCATGCCAAACAAGGTTCAGTTGGCTGTAACTGTTTAGATATTAGAGCTGATTTGATATTCAAAATTAGTAAAAAAAATGTAATGTCAGTCATCGTGGAATTGCAAGGACTGTATAAAGAATTACAAAATAATAAATGTAACAGGGACATACAAAATATGGATCCCAAATTCATGGAATGACCCACATACATTGAACATGTACAAAATGTATCATTTTGAGAGCTACAACCGTACATATGTAATTAGCTTGAAAATGTTAGTTTCTTTATGCTACTTAGCTACATGTGCCTATGGAAATGCCATACAGGATTATGACATCAATCATGTACAAGCACAATGCACCACATTTTTAAGTCAGTAGCCAACAATACTTTGCATGAGGGCAGGCTTTACTTGAAGCATGCAGATCTAGTCCTGTGTTATCACAACTCTGGCATAGACTGCCAATTTTGTACACATTATTGCACTGGTATGAACGTGATGTTGTTGCTATTCTGCTGCAAACTTGTATGCTTGCAGTATAAAGGTTAGAAAACACTCACAAAAGCCAGTATTTTTTGTTCTCTGCACCTGTAGAATGTACATGTACATATGGTGCAAGATTCTTTCTTGGAAACACTTGCACATGGTGCATTATCATGAACGTTTTCAAAGCTAAATACATGTAAACAGTCAATAAGATTTCTGTAGTTACCTTGGCAACTATACTGTCATGAATTTTGGCCTTGTTACTCCGCCAGAATTTACTGAATGCCGCTGCCTGGGCCCCGTTTATACCTCCTTTCTTCTTGGTCTGCGATGTCAGGAAAGCTTCTAGCTGATTCACATCCATGTTACCAGATACAATATTCTGTTATGAAGGAAAAAAATCCACTCTAAAATACTTAATAGGCAAAGTGCAATGCGCAATGTTACACCATTTCTCTTTGAGTTCAACGCTGTTAAAAAAAACCCACTCTGGTTTTGGCACTTTTGGTTATAACTCCAATAAGGCTACTCATCTATATTAGCAAAACCTGCTTTGTGCAGCAATGCATTCAAAATTGCAATTCTTATACAATGTATCTTGACAGTGCATTTTGTGGGCTAATTGTTTGTGTCAAACGGGGTGTCAAAAGGGGGGGGGGAATGTTTATCACCTTCATTTCACACAGACACCAAGAAGGCAAATTCTACCCGTGCCTTCTTGAGCCGCAACCTCAGTCATTGCAGCCGAAAGATCAAGGAAAGTAGCTACACCATGTTTGTCAGACCAATAGTAGAATATGCATCAACATCATGGAACCCCCACACTCAACGTAACATTAAAAAACTGGAACAAGTTCAGCGTAGTTCAGCAAGATTTGTGACAGGCGACTATGACTGGTCAAGCAGTGCTACTGGCGTTCCCTAGCTGATAGACGGTACTTAGCTGGGCTGGAAAATGATGTACCCCATTCGGTTTGACTTGATCGACATCAAATGGTCCCAGTACCTCGTACCATCCACAACTTCCACCAGAGGTCATGCGTCTCACTTCCAGTGCCCATACTCAAGCTCACAAGCGTATACCAACCCCTTCTTTCCTCGCACACGGCATGACTAGAACACACTTAAGAAGGACCCTGCAGCATCTCCATCCCTTGACGCCTTCAAGTCTGCGCTAAGGGATCAATCAGTGATGTAAACCACATACATCACTTTTTTACTCTGCACATCTGTACATACTGCACCTGCACGCATTCACACACACACCACAGTGCGACTATACTCATCTTATGAGGACTGCACTCCATGGAAGGAAGGAAGACAATAATTTCATAAGGCATTGGTACATGTACACGTTGTATGTACATGTACATTACATGGAGCGATATCTGGTCTAGAAGTCATCAATCTTTAAAAGTTTTATGGGAGTTTGCCATCGGTGTATACCATTTGCATGCAAATAAAACCACTGTAATGATGGGTGGGAAAAATTCTGCCAACCGGACACCACTTACCTGCCGCCAAACATTCAAATTTTCACCTTACCTTGTGATTTCAACCAAGAGGAATCCAGGAAAGAGTGGACATGCGAAAAAAAAATGGTAAAAATGTGTTTTTGGAGCACATTTTGCATGCACATGTAGAGCAGATCTGAGTTGAAGCAGCCGGTCAAAACTGATTGAAGTGTCTCTGGAACAGCGGTACGTTATACGCATGACATCGATAACCATGACGTCGCATGAGACGTCGCATGAGCCGGCCAATGATAGTGCAATACGTCATTATGAATATTTATTTTCTCATGAATATTTAGTTTATTTCAATGGTACTTCAAATACGTCCAAAGATTGATCATTGCAACAGCGATCGTGCGCGGCCTAGCTGTTAAGAGACTCGTGTATAAAGCAAGCGTCCGAGGTTCGAATCTCGATGAAGTGAGCGACTGATTGATAAATAGAAATTAAGGAAAGGAGAGGGTGAGAGTAGAGTAGAGGAGGGAAAGTGGAGGGAATAACCCATAAAAGAGGTAACTTTTGGCGCTAGAAAATTAATTGAAAAAAGTGGTGTCCGGTTGGCAGAATTTTTCCATGGGGTTTGTGTAGCAAGCCCAAAAGTAAATAGGCGTAAGTGCAGTCATGCAGCTATAGCTTAAGTCATTGGCCTACTCATCATGGACATGGTCAGATGGTGCAGCGCGTGCACTGACAAATGATAAATCAATACAATACTCAATAGCATCACACAATTTACCTTCAGCAGACTCTTGCATTTTGATAGCAAGGCTGAAAATTCTTCTTCAGTTGCACTGGCCATCAGTTCCTCTTTCAAGAATTCATCAGTGAATTCATCTTTGCCGAAGTACTCGCGCTTCGCAAGTCCATTCAACAACCCCAGAACGGTGCGCGACTCCTCCTCTTCGCTCGCCATGTTGATCGGATTCAGTGATCAAAGGTTGAAGGTTAAAGGTTAACCTGCAAACGGTTTAGTTAAGGTAGTGCAGTATTTTCTTGAAATAGTCAGTGGGAATTTCGAGGTTTTGTTATGACACCTTTCCAGCTTTGAATGTGTCACGATACTTTAGAAAGTCAAGTCGATTTTGTTTTTTAATCGAGGATTTTGGAATTCTATAACCACCAGGTTAGGTTAGGTGAAAGGTCATCTTTAACCGAGCGTGACCGACCGTCTTCTCGACCTTGCATGACCCAGGCCAGGCAGGGCAATTTGCAAACGAAGGCAGGTTCATTTTTTGATTTTTTACTCCATTATTTCAGGTGCCACAAAATCTTAAACTCTGATGTAGTCATGCAACTATCTACTGCAGCCGGTAAACGTGTGGGCTTGCTTTTAAATGCCTTACTGAGAGGTGTAAGGTGCAATCATGAGGCTACGTTAACGTCGCTGTGTACGGTGAGCACTTTTCTCTGACAATGTCAATGTGTCATTCGTAACTCAACTTCTCAAGAAGTTGTACATTTTGTACATGTTGTCATGGTTGTGTAGCAAGGGCCATGATGAAGAGTTAGCTGGCCTGACGTGAGGAATTGTTGGAAGGGGGTGTGGTGTTGGCCTGGAACAGTGGACGTGGAAGTGGGAATGTTTTGCTCAAAACTACTAGTATAGGCCTATATAAAAATAAAATAAAGTGCAAATACAGTTTGGCAGTTTGAGTTTGCGGGAAAACCCAAAAAGTGCAAATTTGACAAGCACCGTTGTTACAATTTTTATAAAGATTAAAGAGCATTGATTATCAACTTTTATTAAAGGGAATATACAACATTTGCAAACATCAAAAAATAAAACTACCAAGTTTTTACGAAATACCTTACTAGGATGTTGGCAAATGACAGTCTAAAGCATCCTGTAAAATTATGGCACCTGGTGTCAAATCATTTTCAAGAAAATGCTATTTTTGTATACATTTCCAACGATGGTCGGCCGACCACTGTTGGAAAAACCTAACTATTTTTCAACTACAGCTCCAAATTTACAATTTTTTCAGCCAAATTTTGTTTGCTATTGGTTACATGTTCTTGAACGGGTGCAGGCCAGCTGGACTGTACTGGTTCCCTTACCTTACAATTTTCCGACATCTATAAATTGATCCATTTTATCTTTAGTGGAGTCAGGGAACCAGACTACTTAAACATGGTTTTTTTTTTTTTTTTTCCAAGCATTTTCGAACACAAAACTTCAAACATGTCAGTTAAACAATATTTGATCTATTATACTAACCCCTCAAATAGTTAATTTCTGAAAATTACAGCAAAAGCCAATGATGTACATTCCCTTTAAAGGGAATATACATCATTTGCTTTTGCTGTAATTTTCAGAAATGGTTGGAATTGGGGGGTTGGAAATATAAAGCAAATATAGTTACACTGACTTTTTGGAGGTTTTGGGTTCGAAAATGCTATAAAAACCAAGAAAAACGATCATTTTCCTGTAGTCTGGTTCCCTGACTCCATATAAGAAGAAACAGAGCAGTTTACATACATTGGGGAATTGTAAGGTTAGGGAACCAGTCTAGCTGGCTCGTACCCGTTCATAGGTTTGTAATCGATTGTAAACAAGTGCGATGGTCAATTGGGGCCAGTATTTGAAAAAAAAAGCCAGTTGTTTCCAACGCTGATCGGCCGATCAGCGTTGGAAATTGATACAAAAATAACACTTTTCTTGAAAATGACAATATACCAGGTGCCATAATTTTACAGGATGCTTTAGACTGTCATTTACCAACATCCTATTAAGGTATTTCGCAAAAACTTGGTAGTTTTATTTTTCGATGTTTGCAAATGTTGTATATTCCCTTTAACCTAATTTGCTTTAAAATGTGTTGAAGCATGAGATACCATGCTTGTCGTATAGGAATTTTTTATTTTTAAATCAAAATTTTACTTGATTTTCTGTTTCCGTATGTGTGTGCACAAATAGGCGGAACTTGACAGGGAACATCAAATATTCATATTTCCTAAAATTATCTGCAAAGTATTTGGTCAGAAGATCATGGATATTAAACAAAAGATATAGACTTGTGCTTTATGTTTAATATTGGAAATGTTGTAAACATATGCATTCAGAGTAAAACAGGTGCAGTAGCTTTACTTTAAAGCATTATTTTGGAAATTGATGATATCTGTTTGTGTGCGTGTTTCTTAGATACAAGTACGTCAGCACTCTGCATCAGCACAATCCACCAATACCACCAGGCTACACTCCAACTTCCTGTCATCATCAGCCACAAGGACATCCCTACCCTCTGTAAGAAGTCTTTGTAGTCATGGCAACAGTAAAGGCATCAGCGGTTCAGAATCGAGTGATGGAGGAGCGGAGGTCGGCGCCAGATCAGACAATGAGCCCAGGGTGCCATTTTACGATATTGTCATTGTGGGAGGTGGTATGACTGGGCGTGCTATGGCATGCGCATTGGGTAAGGAGATTGTTTACTGAACTTTGTTTTACAGCATGTTTTTTGTTACAAACATATGAAAGGCTTCGTAAAGAATAATGTTACTCATAGGTCATGCTTCATGTGTGATCTCTTGTGTAATCGTCACTATTGTCACTTCTGAACCCATCTTTATTGTTGTACCATAGTCCGAGAATTTGGGACTCTCAATACTGTGTATGTTCGTCCAAACATTTATGAAGTAAAACCATGTAATACAAGTAAGAAGTAAGACAAGATAAGTTTGCGGTAGCACCATGTGAATAAATCTCTTTTGTGAGTATGTGTGGTTTCGAACAGTATGCTCTGCCCGTCGTCAGGAGATGAGATATTCCAACGATGATGCGATGTTATAAGGATGGGTGTGGTGAGGCGTGAGAAGGATGCAAACTGGTGAAGCTCGAAACCGGTGAAGCTGAGAAGGATGCAAGTTGACTGAAGGATGCTGGATGATTACTGGAGCGTGTCAGTACACAGTGAGGGGGCAAAGGGGAAGGAGCTCAGGGTATAGGTGACCCATAGGCGAGAACTGAACGTTGTCCTAGGGTATAGGAGACCCATCCAACTTGGACTTGAGGATGGGGCGCCAGATGTCGCTCATGTAGAAACCGATGTCTTGGGGAACAGTGTTATGCTTGATGATCTCGATGGCTTCTCTGATGCGTTGGGGGTACCAGCGGTCGATGCTAGTGAGTAGTTCTGCTTGGCTGCAGTTGATCTGGTGGTCCTCAGTGTGGGAGTGTTTGACAATGGAAGATTTGTTCATTGAGTCTGGTGGGGAGGTCCCTGCCAGTCTCGCCGATATACACTTTGCCACATTGACATGTAATCTTGTACACCCCTGGTCTGCATTCTGGGTCACACCGATCCTTGTGTGAAGTCAGCAGGTTCTTCATCTTCAGAGGGGCTGTGTGGAAGACTCAAATTCCATGCTAAGAAGTACATAGACTGGCACCTGAAACAACCAGTCCAACACCCCATTAGCACTGCACTAATCAACTGTGTCAAAGAAGCATCTGGTACCCAGTCTCTGTTTCTATACATTTCCATAGTCGTGCCACCAGACTACTGAAGGGTCCATCTTCTCAAAAAGTTGGACATGCAACAGTCTAGTCTTAGGCTTCAAATTGAAATCACTTGGCTTCACTCTCAGATGCAAAAATAGGAAAGAAAAGTCTCTGTTAAAAATTAAAGTGAGACCTCAAACTTAAAATACCGAGGACCTTGTCTTTTGAAGAATTTTGTTGGCTAAAGATAGAGTGAGTAAAGTTGGACTGATTTTGTTTTGCATGTTTTTTCTGCACTCAAGGTCCCAGTCTGGTAATATTCCTAACTACATGTACATCCCAACTTAAACTTTAGTGTTCCAGGTGGAAAACTTAAGTTTGGACAGTTTGGGACGGAGATCTAATTGTGGCAGCAAGTACATGCACATTACATTGTAGGCTAGGGAGGACAAAGAACAAATTATAATACATGCATGAAGTTGGACTGCCAACAACAAATTCATGACCTCAGAATTACGTATAATGTGACGGGAACTGTAAATCAAAGTGCTGTGCATCTAGATATAGGGTTGCCCAATTGACATTGGAGTTGAAACAACACTTGGTAGGTCAAAAGACAGATCTTAAGCAATGTCCACAGATGTCCAGAAAGATGAATTTTCATTTGAAATCTGAGGCCCTTATTGAAGTGTTGAGATTCTGTGGTCTTCCATCTGATGGCAAACCTGTTAAGTTTTGTAACCTTTGGAGCTCTTTGTGTTAAAGCATACATGTTTGTCCTGAGAAGGACACCCACACTATAATTTGCCAAGGAAAAAAATAGATTCACGTTCTTCGGCATTTCAAAATGTAATGATATTTTCTCTGACAGGGCTTGAGGCATCTCTAGACCCATACAAGATCTTGATGGTGGAGGGAGCTAGCCAACCAAAGCCATTACCAGAGGATCTGTCTGACAGTGAATACAGCAACAGAGTATGCGCTCTCAGCCAAGGCTCTGTGGATCTACTATCAAGTAAGAAACTTACATGTACACAGGCAGGGCACACAAGGCTATTTTCACAGGCAATTGACCCATTAGTCACTGTAGATTCCAAAACTGCCTGTATACTTGTATAACTCCCTACTTCTGGTAGCGCCAGAAATCGCCAGAGCACTCAATGGGTTTATTGGTTCTTCAGTAAATAAATACAATGTAATACATTGTAATACAGTTGCCAATGGGTTGAATACATGTAGATTCAATCAAACACGCTGCTACATGTAGCTGAAGGAAGTCACAAGATGGACAAATATTTCAACACTTCTACTCTTTCTTGCCAAGTTTTACATCAAATTTTAATATTCTTTATTGAGATTGCGCAAAACTTTTACTGGACTGAGTCTATCCTTGAGATCAACTGCTTTTTCCGTCATTTGCAAAATTAACAACAAATTAGAAGACAGTGTAGAACATTATGTAGCTTCTGAAGTCACAATAAGATCAATGCAAAATTGCGACTTAAAACAATGACAATAAATAATCATGACAACAGATAATTATGACTTACGTTGGTGTTAAAATAAAGTAGATTCGTTTGGTCTGCTTGACATTTACGAATCTTGACATTTACGAGCCCTGCCTGTCTAACCATTTCTTTCAGGCATTGGAGCCTGGTCTCATATGGTGATCCATAGGGTACAACCCGTACGCAGCATGCAGGTTTGGGATGCTTGCTCAGATGCTGCCATCTCCTTCAGAAGCGAGCCAGAGGCGGGTCAGGATCTTGCCTTCATCGTCGAGAACGATGTGACGGTGGATGCGCTGAGCAGACAGCTAGAGAAATTGGGAAGCAGGGTTAAGATGATGTACAACAACTCAGTCAAAGAAATCAAGGTACAGTACATGTCGAGATTCATTCAGACGCTCTTTATTGACACAAAATGATTGAGAGGGAGCACTCAAACATGTCAAAAGAGCCATGGTTTTCCAAATTAAGCAGAAAAATCGATAGAATAAACAGAATATCCCTTTGAACAAAATCAAGCCTTTGAAGTAACAGCTACAGCATTGGTGTAGAGAGAAATTTATCAAGGGGGGGGGGGGGGGTAAAGCTGGAGAAGGAGACAAAGCGGGGTTTGAGACAACTGAGGGCGCTGTTGCTGTGATGTCATTTCAGGAAGACACTGTTCAGTTTAGGGGTTTTCGGTTCAAATTGTGAACCCAAAATTAGCTCATTGAAAACATTTGCGAGATAGGTTTTGCTCATTGGCTTTATACTGCCATGTACCGACACAACAATGAATCGCCAGAGAAACGGAAATTTACTACAGCAAAATATCAAAAATTCTATCAACTTTTGGTGCCCAAATAGCTGTAACATTGAGGTTTCTGCCCGAAATGACATCACAGTTTTGCTCACGAATATGAACATTTACGCAAGCATAAAAAAAAAAAGGCACCAGAATACCCTTGAAAATGGTAAAACGAAAATGGAAAATAAGGTTAAATGGGAAATAAAGGTCCATTTTCAAGGATTGCACTTAAAAAAAAAAATTGCATTGCATGGGCCCTTTAAGCTGTAGTCAGTGTTGATCCCTGTTTCTTGTGAATGCCTTGTGTTCATGGTGTTAAACGTGTCATAAACCTGACTACATGTATGGTTAACTGCATACATTTGTACCTTTATACAGGTTTTATAAATAACTTTTGTCAATGGCAGCTTTATTTATTTTTCTTTAAATTTAATACTAGGTGCCAGATCAGACTTTATCGGATCAAGAGAGCTGGGTGAAAGTGGAACTAGCAAGTGGCAAGATCCTGAAGACTCGGATTCTTATCGGTACGGTTCATTCAGGCCAACAGGTCTCAGAGTGCCCACCACTGATTTAGCCCTATAACCCTGCTCAATCCAACAGGATCCAACTATTCGAAAAACCCGCTGGATCATGTTGGATTGAGCAGTAAACCCCTTGTATATATTTTACTGTTAAAATATGTTGGATCCAGCAGGCAACTGAAAACATTCAGCGTCGGATTCTGTTGGGTACTGGTAAATAATGCCAAATTGGACTCTGTTGGATCCAGCAGTAATAAATAGAAAAATAAGGCACAGTTGGATTCTGTTGGATTGAGTCTGCCAGTCATTTGATATGTTCAGGTATCCAACAACTTGGTAAGTTGGATTGTGTGGGACTGTGTTGGATTATGCAGGAAACTCACATGAGTACCCGTCGGACTCTGTTGGATTTAGCAGGGTAGTGAAGTAGTAGGGGGTTAGGGTTGTAGCAATGACCCTTTGTGACTTCTATACATGTATGTATGTGTCATTCCATAAATTTAGGGTCCAGATACTAGAGTGCAACATTTTTCCTGTCCCATATCTTGGTACTTTGTAATTATAGCCATTCATGTGTCACTAAGAATGACCTCGAACATTTTTTTATTTGTTAGGTAAGTTGCTTGCTATTAATAATCACTCTTGGAGGACGTCTGCATTAAGAGAGGCATCAGAGTTATAAAATCATAGATGTCAGATGTAACAAAGACAGGGAAAAAGTGGACCCTACATTTATAGAATGACCCACATGTATGATGAGCTGATGCCAGGAGTTGTTTAAAATGTCTGTTGCTGTCTGTGCCAACCACAGTCGACCACTTCTCAGATTCACACAAACTTTAAATCCAAAATTCTTGGTGCTTTTGCATAGTTTCTTGCTGGTACAGAATCTAGTGCTTTAACGTTTTCATAGATTATTTGTTCACATTCTACATGTAGGTGCAGATGGATCCAACTCTGTGATCAGAAGGCTGTGTGATATACCCTATGTACATTGGCAGTACGACCAGTCAGCTGTGGTTGCTACACTCCGCCTGTCAGAGGTAGCATGTGATATGTACATTATGATTTTACAACTTAGTAATTGTCCCTGCAGAATCATTCCTCAAACCTAACCTTGTCAGATGCAACACAGTGCATCAGGCGTAAAAGTCGTTGGGACCTTGTTGCATTGAGCCATCAACACCAGTACATTAATTGCCGCCAATTCTGAGACAATGGGCGCTTGTCTCATTGAACAATGTAGGTTGGTAATAAACCATAGTAGGTTGGTAAACCATATACTCATTGGATTTGATACCAAATTGTTGTTTTTTTCATCCAAGTTTCATCCAAGTCTGTCATCTGATGACATTCTCTACATGACTTGTCACAAAATGACACATTCACTCATGTACATATTGATCTGCAATTCAGCCAACAGAAAATGTGGTAGCGTGGCAGAGATTCCTACCTACTGGACCTATAGCAATGTTACCGGTGAGTAGTTGACTGGGAATCAAGCCCAACATACATGTACATGTGGTTACATTGATTGAGAGCGAATGTGGGAGTGTGGAGATGTTGGATGGGAGGATTCAGAGATGACCTGTAGGTCAGTCATATCTACCTCTTTATGGTTTCTGATTTTTCTCTTGTGTAGACCAATCCCTTCTATTAACCTATCGCGGTAGAATCGCGTCAATGCAGCTTGTGCAATATTGTCCAATTACATGATTTACAAAAGGACACGGAACGCGCAAAATCTGAGACAAACAAAACTTAACGTACACAAATTCCATAGGGTTGTCTAAGGGTTGAGACTAACTCTCACACGGCGATTGTATGGTCAATTATAGAGGCCCCATTTAATGGTGAAAGCTACATGTAGCTACATGTATTGCAAAAATCCATCATTAGCCAGAAGCTTTGCACAATAGATGGCCCGATGCTTTCGCATTTGAAGGGGGGCCTTGTGAGTGTACAGTGATTGCATGCCAGCTTTGGCTAAAATTATGTGCACCTTGTAAAGGTTTAATATGGATATTTGCAAAGTTACTACGTTTTATGCGTTACCTTGTCACAGCTGACCAATGAGATGAGTTCACTCGTGTGGAGCACCAGTCACAGTCAAGCAGAGAGTCTCATGCATATGAATGAGGAGCAGTTTGTGGATGAAGTGAACGATGCTTTTGTAAGTAACACAATGTCGTTTTGTTTTAATTAGTGCACCCATTGAGGCCACTCTACACATAATACAAAACAAATTACATAATACAGTGAAGAAACAAATATTAAAATTACTCCATTAAATGATTGGAACAAGAGTAAGACCTTTCAGCTGTTGGAATTGATGACAAGATTATTTCAAAATGTCACTTCTCATTGATTAGTATTTGTAATATTTTTTTTTTAAATAATAAACAAAAATGATTGATTATATTTTTGTAAATATTGTGGTTGATTTCATAGTGGAATATAGATTCAGTTGTACTTATTATAACAAATATTTATAGGACTCAATTATTTTGTAACTTTCAGCTTATATTCATTAACGTTCTCGTCAGTGAAGTTAGTTCCTATAGAAATTCAGGTCCTCATCTGTGTACCAGATGAGTAAATGAAGAGCTTCAAATGTAACTGAACGATTGTCTGGTTGAGTTGGGAGGTTTTTGCAGAGCCAGTAATATGAACTTTGACCTTTGTTTCCAGTGGGACGACAGCCGTAAAGACCAAATAGCCACTAGTGCAGGCCAGTTTATGAACAGCGTCCTGTCGTTGGTCAGGCCTGATGGGTCAGGGGTCAGGCAGCTACCTCCCAGCGTGTCCAGTATCTCACCGGCCAGTAGGGCTATGTTCCCACTGTCTCTTGGCCATGCGTCCCACTATGTCAAGCCGCGCATCGCTTTGATTGGGTAAGCAGTTTCGTAGGTTGCAACAAATTAGTCTAAAAGTGTGGCGGACACAATAGCTAGAGGCATTTTGCAGTGGGTAAGCTTTTTGTATCGACTCAAATTTACCCACTTTTAAATAGTTTCTGCTTATTCTGTCCGCCACACTTGAAAAAGGCTAATGAAACAATCGAGCCTGTACAAAGATTCTTATTTGATCAAAGGCAAACTTTGTGAATTATTTTGAAATGAGTAAGGTTACTTCGTGTATGATTGTTAGGCACAAGTCCATCACAAGTTAAATCACAAGACACCATAAAGCAAATCACATGTCGGGTCACAAGCAGCAGAGGCCGAACAATACCAAAGAATGCTTTAGAGTAGTGAGAACTAATCCCAAGCATGGTGCAGTCCAAAGTACTCAAAAACTTGTCCTTACTTCAAAACTAGACATGTTCGTGGTACCTCTATCAACGGTGTTGCATGTTATGACTTGTGTCCCGGGATCTTTATTTGTGCACGTGCAGTTGCGATGACAGGATTTTGCACTTTTCAATCCAACAATGCAAAGGAAAGTGTCTACACTCTACTCAGGGTATTTGTTTCAACCAACAGACCTTTAAATGGACAACTACTCTGACATTTCTCTTGTGTTACTTTAGTGATGGGACTTGTTATAAAGTTAAATGAGACTTAAGGGTTTGCATGGTGAACATGATCAATGAATGGGAGGTTTGCGGTTACACAATGTGATGACGATTGACAAACAGAGCATCCTGTTTGAAACGTTGAGTTAAACCAACTTGTTCTTCTCATCTCAGAACCACACAACTCACATGGTGTTACCGCAAATCTCCCATTCATTGTTATGAAGTTGATCAGTGATCGACTTGTAATTGACTGAATTACAAATGTGGTTACGTGTACAATATACTGTATTTTATCTCAATTAAGTCAAAATATTTTTGTTTTTGAACAGTGACGCAGCCCATAGGGTGCATCCCATGGCTGGCCAGGGTGTCAATCTTGGTTTTGGTGACGTCGCTTGTCTCAGAGACTCGCTGGTTTCAGCTGCTAGCACGGGCAAAGACCTTGGTATGTATGCACAACCTCCTTCAATTGAACCAAATAGCACATTGTATTACATTGTATTTATGCATCGATATGTCCATAAACCTACACTACAGGGAGTAATGGGCTCTGTGCACAAGTACCTCATCGGTAAGAAAGGGAAAGTTAGGGAAGACCACTTGGAGGGACATTCCAACAGGAAAGGCATCTGAACTCTCTGTGCAAGCTGTACTTCAAGTCTTTTTTACGCGCACATTTGTTTGATTCCATCTGATTTTGACAATTTTTACAAAGAGTAAATTTGAATTTTTTTCCTTCATGTTTTTATGCTAAGGTTAATATGCACTTACTTTGGCTATGATTTCATCTTAAAAGGCCATATAAAAAGGCTGTAATAGTACTGAATTGTTTCCACCTCTCTTCCAGGCTGCCTGTCACATCTCCTGGAGTACGAGACTAGCAGGCAGCGTGCGGTCATCCCTGTTGTTGCCGTCATTGACGGCTTGAAACGCCTCTATTCAACAGACAATCCTTTAGCTGTGTTGGCACGGAGCCTGGGACTACAGGCAACAAATGCAATGGTGCCATTGAAGCAACAGATCATAACCATGGCAACTGGAAGATAGTCACAACTGGAAATAACATTATAAAAATTGTTTTGAGTATCAGAATATGCTGGACTTGCAGAAATATGCAAATGTACGATATAAACTTGGCCCTGCCACAGTTACTTGTGCCCGAGACCTAGTGATGCTCAATACTCTGCAACTGGTTTCGGTACAGTGGTACATGATTTTGTCAAACAACAGGGATTGGCCAACTGTAATTCAAGTTTAACTTGAGCTCTTCCTGAATACAGTCGACTCTCGTTATAACAAGGTCGATGGGACTAGCCAAATTGTTGCGAAACAAAGAAACACAAAGAGAACCTGAGATTTGGGACCTCAGAATTTGCTCTTTATAAACAGAACCTCTTTATAAAAGTGCTCTTTATAATGAGAGTCGACAGCATATGAGATAAATTTCACACGATAGCTCCAAACCGAAAATGACATTGAGCCTCTCAGTTGCAGATTACGTCTCCCCTCACTGACCCAAGTGACCTGGCCTACATCCGGGTAACTGAAAGTCAGCGTCACCATTGTTGTAGGCAAATATCAAATAGCACCATACACAGTAGGTAGTAGGTAAGCCTTCAAAGCTGTGATGGATAGCAAAAGCTGAGAAAAACGCGGATCCAACACCCAGTGCTGGATCGACATGGTTATGCACTGTACATGGTATGGTAGTGACCAATGTTGTGCATCAGGTCAGGTTGACAAGACCAAACGGACCTGAAATATTATGAAACCAATCTAAACTTGACTGATCAGACAAAAATTCAAGCAAAAACTTACCCGAAACCGAACCGCCCAGAAAAACAAAACAAAAATCTGGCTTGGGCAAATGTGTCCGCTTTTCGTGCCTAAACTTACCCACGTGACACCGCGCTGCATTGAAATCGTCTCAGTAAAGAATCACACCGTACAATACGGTGAAAACTCAAATTGTTAACATTACCACCTGGTGGGCTTACACGTTTTAGACTGTGCGTGATAGACTGCAAACCACATGCACATTCGCACAGTAGGTTGCCGTTGGTCTTACTAGGCACAGTAACTCTGCAGTAACATTGCACAGCAAGAATTTACGAACTGTTTCATTTTTTTTTTTATTTAAAACCGACCCGACCCGAAGCACATTAGTCATGTTAGTAGTGACCATTATGCCATTTGAAGAAGTCACGGTTATTTTACGTATACCTGTCTTGTTACAAGGCATGGTGTAGTTGCTAACCAAATGATTGCCTACTGCAGTGGTGGCTGATCACGGGGGGAACCAGATGGTCATGAGGTACTTGGACGTCATACGATCGGACCCTATATTCTGGACATTCGCTAGTCACCATCAGATGGAGCACAGTGATGTAAACTCTCCATTTGTGATACGCAACAAGTAAGATTTGAGGCTTTGCATGGTGGAGATACTTAATAATGAAAGGTTTGCAGAAACACCATGTGCGAATAATTTCTCAACTAAGAGAATGGTTCTGAAAAGAACCAGAGGTATAAACTCGACGTTCCGGTCAGTATGCTCTGACCGTCTTCAGGAGACTCTCTCAGCATACTGACCGGAACGTCGAGTTTATACCTCTGGTTCTTTTCAGAACCATTCTCTTAGTTGAGAAATTATTCGCACTTGGTGTTTCCGCAAACCTGTCATTATTTGATACGCAACACTTCATCTCTTTCTTCAGCAACAGAGATAGGCCAACATTTAAGTCACATTCAGCTCCTCCCGAATGAGAGATTGCAAGACCGATTTCACAAGATGCTTTGAAATAGAACTATCTTTAAGGGTTTTTATCCCATCTTGTACATGTAGGTTTCTTCTCGCAGAAATGTAACTGATATAACTGATAGGGGGCTTTAACTTTTATCTTGCACAATGATTTCATGCAATTCTACATGGTTTTTTTTTGGGGGGGTTGGTTTAACCAGCAAAATATTGTCAAATCTTTTGCTGTGCGCATGACAAAGTTATGCATCAAAATCTAAGTACTGCCAAGTTTTGTGACGGTAAACTGAGACATAAATATTCCAGTAGAATTTATTGTAAAGTGACATTAAAAGCAAAAACAAAATCCTTTCATAAACAAAGGGTAAATGGTTTCAACCAAATTGCAATGAGCAGTTTTATTATTCCATGTTCAACCGGAAACTTTAAAATATATTTGAGCCTTCATTGAGCTGTCTTTTTTTATAATGATAAATATCCCCTTTATGACATAAAAGAAGTCACAAGGATGGAGTTGTTTGATTAGCAACAAGCATCTTAAATGGTGTACATGTACGAACATAAAATGTCATAAATTTGAAACAAAAAGTGTTCGGGCTATTGAATTCTCTTTGCAGTGGAGCCTAGCTGGTAGCATTCACCCTCAATTGAAAGAAGGGAGTGTCAAGTGTTTTAGCATTTTACAAGTTTCACTTTATATTCGTATCAATAAATACAGAAACAGATTTGCTTTGTTTTTCCTTTCGCAATATGCTGTGTAGCAAAATGCTATGGTGTCTTGCACATTTTTGTTCCATGAACAGCAGCATAATATACATGTACATGTGGAACAGAACAATCAATGATCATCCATGTGTACCCGGTAAGTACCCCCACCCCCATGGGCAAGAGTTGGCCATTTTTGTCGAGTTCCCTGAATGTATTTCATAAATTGTTAACTGTTGAATGGGATGGCGCCAAACTATTTATGCAGCCTTATTTTACTGTCATTTTTTTTTCTTGCTTAAAACATTAGGGAAGTATTTATTGAAGCAGACTTGAATTAATTAGTAATTTACTTGCTGTAATTTCTCTTCGCAAGTTCCAAAAATGAATTTACCTCACTTTTAATTCAATATGGCCGACTCGTGCATAAGGCCCATTGTAACAAACTCAGAGACAGACACCACTGCTGCACCCACGTACAGACAATTTACTGGTTTGTGCACATGCATTGAAAAATGAGTCATGTGTACAGTGTACATGTTCATGTACTTAATGCCATACTGTGTCCAAGGCACTATAGCTCCTATGAGTGTAGTGCCTGAGTGCGTGTGGGGTCTACACATAAGCGCGCAAAACGCACATTGTAAACGAGGCTAACCATTGTATATGCATTTTTACAGAATGGACACGTAGCCGCTCTCGACCAATGAAATTACAGTATCCAAGCACACGATATAACAATATTGCTTCTTATGTCCGCCTCGCAAAGAAAACCTGCAGGATCATCCCCATGACACTGCAATTTCTTTGCTGCCCACTTGACCAATGCCAGTTATCCGTGTAAAGAACTGTTGATTTTTAAGACTAGCACAGACATCACCCTGAGGTATCTGAGAATGGTCACTTTTTTTAATGTAGAGTTATTGCAAAGAGTTTTCTCAAGCTTGTGACTGCTTCAGCAAGAACAATCTGTGCAGGTGGTCGACTACAAATGACACTGAACCCAATCACTCGGCAGACTGTGCAAGCAGGCGCTGTCTTGTGTATTCCCATACGAGTAGTGCACCACTGACATGGACGTTGAGGGAGCGAATGATGCCTTGTTGAGGTATCTCTACACACACATCCAGTAATTGGATCAACTCCACAGGAATGCCTGTACGCTCATGTCTGCATTGCAAAGAAAACAGAAGGTTACTTTTAATAGGACATTGCACAAACTTTATATTAAGTGCATTTGATTACCTCAGCTGGGCGACTCGGATTAGCCCCCGTGTCATTTGATAAACTGACATCATTCACAGGGCTCATTCGGGGCAGCCACCGCATGAGCGGGGTCTGTGGTGGAATTACATCAAGCGCATGCATTGTTCATTCCACAAAGCTAACAAATATGGCAGCCAGATAGTGGGAAAGATTTGTAAATGTCAGGTGGACCCAAAAAATCAACATTGTTTTAAATCTGAACATAATTATTCATTGATCTCTTTGTGACTTTCGATTCTATTATTCAAGTGTGACATTGCTATACTTTTGCATATGACGAAAAAGCAGTTGACCTCAAAATAGACTTAAGGGTGTTTTGTCTACAGCACATTGTGTGAGGATCATGATGGCACGTGTCCAAACATTTGATTAGCCCAGCTCTCATGGCTAACCTGTCTGCCAGTATCCGAGTTGATCCGGGGAAGCTACTCGAATGCATTGACTAAGTCTCAGGACAGAAAAGAACCAAGACACGTATACGTGTTAGTCTTCACATGGACAGTTTAGGTCCAATGGTTGTTCCATTCTGTAAGCACTCTGAACTCATAGAACAATTATTATGAGTGTTTGGACACACACCTCATACAGGTATGCAAAATTAATTTATATACCCAATATGACTTTTAATGCCGACAATAGTTTTTTTGCAAATACTTTTGCCTTATTAAAATATTTTTTTGGTCCAAATACCCTGATTCTAAGCTTAAGTGATCAGGCAAGAATTAAATCAGATTTAACCACTGTAAAGGTGTATTGCAAGCTTGACTACAAACAACTCTGGCATAATATAGGGAAAGCTTACCCCAGCAGTAAGAGTGTTCTCTCTGGGAACTGATACTTGGTAAGGCACTGACTTCTGGCAGTCTGTTCAACTCCGACCAGCGTGTAGCCCTTGTGTCTCATTGCTTGTAGATAAGACGCCAAATCACTCACTGGGACCTTGCAAAATAGAAAAGAATATTCAACCATCAATCCAAAATACCAATCTAAATCACCCATTGTGCTTTTAAACATCTCGGTTGCCAAAAGAAAACATGCTCAGGTGTATTGTCACTCACCTCTATAATGGGCAGCCATTTTTCGGCAGTGACACTCAGTGTCTGGAAGATTTTGTCGGCTGTTACACGAAGATTGTTGACGACCAATGTGGACACGCCAAAGATCTGACTTGTACGACACAAACCTAGGACCAAGAAAAACAACAAAAAAGGAATCAGTCTGGGAAAATCAACTAAAATTCAATGGCATTAAACTCATGATAAGAACTATTTTCAACAACAAATAACTGACAATTGGCGTAGGAACTGGAAATTAAACTTCCGACTAATGCCTTGAAAAAAGAAAACATGACACACCACTAAACCAGGGATTTCTAGTTCTATGCATGTAAGAATAACTGTAACAATAATGTATTAAATTATAATTTGGACCTTTATGATCCTAGCAAGCAAAAACGAATTTAAAAAAAAGAAGAATTAATGTTCTTGAGAACTTTCTCAGACCACATATTGATAAGTATATGCCACACATGCTGGTAACCAAACTAAGGCCCAATCAGGTACATGTATATTATGGCTATGGCTTAACTATTTTTCATTTGTGCACTCCAGCAAATCGCAGTAGTCATAGCCAACTATGCCAATTTTGGACACGGCCTTACCTAATCTTGAGCCTTTATACGTAGTATTCAGACTTACCTCCTAGATTAGGTGCCTTGTCTATGAGTGATGCCACCAGCACCAGACTACCTCTCCTAGATCCCTTCTCCTCCTGTCCTACTGTCCTGATGACATCATCAAATCCAGGCATCACTGTGTCTTGCCAAGGTATGATCTTCTTTTGAACATTCAATTCCTTGTCGCATACTTCAGATGCTGAATTGGTGAAGCTGCCACCTTAGAAAGAAACATTAATAACTTACACAAACTTGGTTCAAGTAAACAAACCTACTGAAGAAAAAGGGCCTACACGATTCAGGCCAAAGCTGTAGTTCAGATGATGGTCTTGTTTCCCTGTTTCTGTTTATACCACTAAAAGGCTGTGGCATAACTATATATAAGAGGCACAAGTGGGGGGGGGGGGGTTCCACAGACTTCGAGGCAGAGGGGCCCCCATGCCCCCCTCTAATAGGGCTGTGCATCAGAACCGGGTACCCAAGTACCCAACCGTTAATGTCGGGAACCAGTTCCAGATTATGGAATCCAGTACCCGTAACCAACTTTGCAAATTACTTGGTAACTTCTCAGTCAATGAAAAAAAAGAAGTTTCAAATGTCAGTGGGAACATTTCTATAAAATGAAAAACAGGATATACATGAAAAACCAAAACCAATTTTACGTTTTATGATGCTTGCGAAAGTTGCAGTTTTCACCACATAGCTAAAGAGCTCACTGTAGCTAGGCTTATTGCGGACTGATGTGGTAGTATTATCGTGCAGACCTTTATGAACAATCTGAACAGCAACTTCCCAGATTTGAATTTTTGGCTTGGGTTTCTTTAACGGGTACCCGTATTTTTTCCAATAGGGTACCCGGTTCCTGTACTACCTGTTATAAATGCACACCCCTACTTTCTAAGTAACATCACTGCTAATAGGCGGTTTATACTTCAGCTAAACTACAACTGCTGACATGAAATTTGCTCTGCTTGTATTTCTTTGGAAGCACAAAGCAACCCTTACCTGGACTTGCTTGCAATGATGATGGTTGTACAGCCAGAGTCAAGCGGTATTCATCTTGTATCAGGGACTTCTCTGGGTTGTACAGACGTACCACAGGATGTGCTTTGCCAGTGCTGCTCCATAACGAGGGGCAATCTCTCTCAAAAAGCTGAGGTTCCAGGAATTCATCATCAGCCAGGGAGCTCAGGGCAGGGAGAATGTGGAAGACTGTCTGCAAGGAAATGTCACAAGATGGATTATATTAAAAAAAAAATAAATTAAGAAAGTGATATTCCTGCCAATAAATTTACACTTCAGTATCGAAGTACAAATTTGTACACTTTTATTAACCAGATCATATGACATGAGGATTTTTATTTTCACCTTTATCATAACTGTATGAATTGTACCGAGCCAACTCAGTGCTTCAATTTCTGGATCACTTCTATCGCGGAGGCCCCCTTCACATGGGGGAAAGCATTGTGCTAGCTATTGTTCAGGTAATTCATCATGGGGCTTGAAATTCCAATGAAAATGGACATTATGAAACCTAAAATTACAATTTGTAGTGTTCTGGCTAACTTTATTTTGTACCAGGGTTCATATGGTTGGTTTTCTGGCCATGGAGGGGAAACTAACAAAGTTAAGTAGTAAAGAAGAATCTGGTCACATGATAACTGAACATGCAAGGGGCCCCCTTCAATGGAGAAACAGTTGGCATGCTATTGCGCAAAGCAACTGCCCCATGACGGATTATCTGAACAATAGCTAGCACAATGCTTCCGCCATTGATGGGGGCCTGCACGATAGGATTGTTAGCGTGCCCGGGTTGTTCCATACACTTTTCTAATGTGGCAAGGTGTTGGACCCATATATATAGTAATCATGAAGAATGTGCAAAAGGGTTAATTAATGCAATAACTGGGGATTCAGAAAAGTGTCCAAATTGTCTGAAACTTGGGATAAAATGACGTACCTCCATGGTATAATCTTGCACAGGATGGACTTTGAAAAGGAAGAAATAACTGTCTAGTTTGTTTTGTGATGACATGGCAGACCTGCAAAAAAAATTAATCAAAAATATACAAATTTATGTGTTACAGCATTATTTAAATGGCACAACGCACAGTCTTTAAAAACAGACATTTTATCACAAATCAAGTGTTTTGCAGTGGATATGTTACAAGGCATTTCCATTTTCCAACTTGCTGCGGCCAAAATATTTTGCTCCAAAATATACGGCTTCCTCTAAAAATAAATTTCTTACATGCCATCTTGAAGAAAGCGCATACACGACTGCAGCAGCGGGAACGCGTCATTAACACTGCCTAGTCCTGCCTCCACGCAATCTTGCCACATCTTCTTGATGCAGAGCAGAGCAAGATGTCTGATGGAGGATGTCTGCACCAGAGCCCACGGTAACACCACGGGGAAAGCACGCTGGTAGAAGGATTCCTAGAGGTACGGCAGGAGTTTTTTTTCATATGAGGTACATGTAAGAAACTTAAGAACATAGGATCAATAGCTTTTGGTGCACTTTCTTTGTTTTGAGAAATAAAAGTGAAAACAAGTGAAAGTAGGGAGCATAACAACAAACCTGTTGAAGCGTCAGCTCAGTGGATACTATACACTTGGAGAAAAACATATGCAAAATGTTAAGGGTCTCGTAACTGGCTTCCATTGCCAAAGCATGTATGCCCCCCGGGTACCCATCTTGAAAATGCCTTCAATGTTTGTTTTTTTCCCAAACAATACCATTTTAGGTTGAATTATTTCACAGGGTATTTGATACCAGTCCTACATGAGCAAATTAGTCAGTTCTTTTCCAGGAAATTGCAAATGATTCTACGCGGCATTTAAGAAAATTCCTATGAAATCCTCCAGTGTGTGCAGTAACACATTCTTTGTACTTCAACTGTTAAGGGGGACGAAGCCTGATATAAATTAACGATGCCTGGGCCCTACTTAAATCGATTCTGCCAAAGTCCTCCAAAACCTCCAAATAGACTTAACACATAGTTTGACATTAGGGACTGATCCAGGCACGAAAAGTAGGTGGTGTTTTTGAAAACTTTTGAGAGCCCTAGTTGGCAGGACACATGCTGTGTGTGGGTCCTGATTTGTGTGTGTATGGCGTAAAAGTACAAATGTACATGTACATCTAAACTTTATTCTGAATGTGCACAAACGTATAGTATCCCCGTATGAGCATCAGTGCAATTTCTGACCATACATTACTCTAAAAACATAGTAGTTATACTTTTGGAGTTACTGTAAGGTTTGTTTTCTGCAAACAATTACTTTCTAATTCATCAACTCCATATTTTCCAAAAAAGAAAGAAAAAAGAAGCAAACGTACAGTGCCACCAGTCTGTTCTCTGTTGAATTAAATGAGGTCTGACATAATGAGGTCTTGTACAATGATCAAAACTCAAACCAACCTTTCGCTGTCCGTCTGGCTGTACCATACCCAGATGTGCAATCAGTATGAATAGTGGGCAGACGTTACTCTCCATTGTCTCCCTCAGCTGGTTAGCATACGAATGAAATAAAGGGAAATAATGTCAGCCACACTGGCAGTCATTAAAAATATCAATCTGGTATTTCACATTCATAAATACCTAAGACAGTTTATCATTCCTATTGGTCGAGAGACGGTTATTAAAGACTGGCTGGCTGGTCTGAAACACTTTTCTAGTGTCACGCGGAATTTTGACTCCTTTGAAATTTGGTGCCTTTTAGTTACAGTTTTCTTGGTTGAACATGTTGAACGTCCACAATGCACATGTAGGCATGTACAATAATATCATTGTCAGTGAGTTGATCAGTATTTCATAGTCCTAAATTCTCACTATACACCGGCACAGCTGCGTTTTGTGCGTCATCGCACATTATGCAAGACATGTGTACCAATCTCCATATAAAGACTTGCTTATGGCATGGGCACTATCATGATATAGCAACCGGGGTGTTTCGAAAAACATGAAGTAAACTTATTGAAAAAACTGTTGGAAATCTATAATTCTTGACCTGTTTAGACTTTTGGACTGAAGAGTTTTAATTTTTTTTACCGAGAAGGTATTTATGAATAGGAATAAATATGTGCTTGGCCGGTATGAAACATTCTGTTTAAGACTGGTTGGAGTCTTGATGCTCATAATTACCCTTGTCTTCGGCTCGGGTAACAGAATGTTTAAAGAGGTTGTGGAATGCTGAAAGTCGTTTTGTTTTTATATTTTTTCATTGTAGAGTAGACCCATATATATCATAATGAAAAAGTCTATAAAAGTTTATATGTCTATAAAACTGAATTCATCGAGTAATTTGTTGGTCGGCGAGCGCATAATTGAAATCAACAGTCGTTGGGTTCTTCGTAAAATGAAAAAAAAATCGGACGTGACTCGTTTATACTACGCTGCATCGGGAGTCCAGTTTATTACGTCATGATTTACTATGCTTTGTTTGCTACCCCAAACAACGACTTTACACAAATTGCACGTTCGGGTCGAAACATGACCTGAAAAATAGCTCTCAAAAGTACCTTTTGTACTCATTTCATGACAGACACAATAGTCGTTTTTATTTCATCACACCTTAGGCAACATATACCCGAAAAATGACGGAAATGTCTTCGAGCATTCCACAACCTCTTTAAACCGGCCAAGCACACATTTATTCCCATTATATGCACAAGTGCAAGTGCTAAAATGGCTGCAGTTTCACATTAGGCAATCAGGCACATACTTGTGCCCTATTTACTTTGCAATGTGTCTGTAAATGCAAATCCAAGCTCGGAATGTTACAAAGACTCACTTTGTGTACATGATCCCATACTCTCTCCTCCAGGCTTGGTACAAGCATCAGTAGCTGGGTAGCCACCCATATCATGAGATACCGGACTGAAGATTGCTTCTCTCGGACTACTGATGTCAAGACGTCCTCTAGCATCTGGCCAGCATGGTCCTGAAAGATTGTGTAGATTTGTCATAAGAAGTCATTTGAATTTTTATTTGTCATAATTAAATGCAAGAAGACAAACAGTACGTTAAAGTGAAAGGCTTCCCTAAAATAGCAACGTCTTCTCACTGGAGCTCAAATAAGCATGACATACATGTGATTGTTCATTAAATATTAGTATTGCCGAACTTAATTTCTTTTCTAATTTTGAAATTTTCAATTGGGAATTCAACTATTTTTGTATATGAGACAAAAGTGTAATTTCCACTAAAGCTGAGAAAATAAAGAAATGTATAACTTTCTCAGAATACAGTTATGTGCCTAGGTATTTCCTTAAAACAAAGAAGCAAATTTCATGACTGATTTCCAATACTTGGATTCTGTACACAATATCATACATACATATTACATGTACTCCCTGATGCAAAAATGTCATCCTATACCTGCTGCTATATATTGGATTCGAAACCAGCCAGGCCAGCTGACCCCTGCAAGCTCAACGGTCGCGTGGTAATTAGACGTCTGCACTAGTAGGTAAGAGGTTGTGGGTTCAAGTCCCACCCAAGTAAGCTTGTGACATTTTTTTCTAGCAAGCCCTCAGACAACTATGATTACACTGCCTTTATGAAACTATATGTCAGTGAGGGGTAAAACTTATTGATGAATAAACTACTATATTATTTCTAAGTTTATCTGAACTGAAAGAAATATACTTCAATCTTACATTGTTGCTTTCAAAACAGAAAGGCTGAAATATTGGCAATCTGTAACGGGTACGGGCATTTCGTTTGTGCTGTTGCAGACAACTTTGGTCACTCAAGACGTTGAATATCTTCAGCACAGATCCACTCAGCCTTACCTTGCGTACATATGATGTAAGAACCAGTAGCGTCTGCCAGATTCGGATATTCTGTCTGTGCAGCTGGGTGTTCATGGTGTAACTGCGTGTTGTGCTAGTCTTCAACTCAAGAAACTGAAATGGAGAAAGTAGGTTATCACCATAGAGCTATATTAAATTACTAGAGCGCTAACTTCGTGTACAAAGTAATGCCTGCTGGGCGCATCCATGTATGTGCACAAACCTATTAGGGCTGTGCCGAATATTCGAATATTCGAATATTCGATCGATAATCGAATATTCGAATATTTATTTTCAAATAAGAATATTCGGTGGTGATATGCAATGAAATAAAAAGGTGGAAAAAACTTTTTTTTAACAACAAAAGTGTATTCTCAAAGTTAAGTTTCAAGTTGCTGCCAAAAAAACCCATAAAAGTAGCTTGTATATATGCCAAGCAATAATGCCATACATATATTACTTCTGCTTTGGGAGTGCTTGCAGTAAAGCCAACCCATTTTTTTAACGCCGGACTGCAACACCAATCGCTGATGCTTCCGACAAGATAAACAAGACATTGTGTCTGTCATGTCTTCACAAAACACTTCCTGACACCTTTTCATATCAAACTTCTAGCATGAGTAGTAACGTTTCCGTTGTCCGTATTTTTGTTTGTTGTTGTCCTACTTAAAATCCCTATTTTCAAAAGAAAACCGCCACTGTTTTCCCCGATGCGATCCTGGCAAGTTTCCCCGCGCGTTGGTGTTATACATGTGCATGTGTGCAGCATAGGAAAATGCAGCGTGGCATTGGAGAGGAGCACGTGTTAATTTGCCCACGTGCGCTGGGAGGGGCTTACTGGATCGGCTATTGACATCACGAAAATGGAATGCCAACATCGATGTAGAAGACCTCTGCAATCTCATGCAAAGAACTTGATTTCTTTTTTCTGTGTGGACCTTTGTATTTTCCGTTTTCATGTACTTATTTTGAGGACGTACTGCTCGCACAGAGTCGCACAAGAAGCGGTACATTACACTGATACAGCGAAGCCAATTCCCCAAAAGTTTTCCATCGCCTGTTCAATCGTGTCGAATGCACGTGGTTATAGGGAATCGCCTTGCACGCAGTATGCTGCCCACAGCACGTGGCGGTGTTGTAGAAAACTTGTCATGAACCCCAACATTACATTAAAACGTTTTGAAAACCTTGGTTCATTTACGTTACGGACTCTGGGATTTTTCTAAAAGAATTTCTTGTTTACTTTTAGGGGTAAATTTATTATGGCTGTTAGATGTTCGCCTCAATGCCTCCGTAATTATATACATGTACATGTACAAAATAATCTAGTTCTCTCAACTGATCACCCTTTTATCGAACACAATTTCGTTCGCTGTCCGTCAGCTTTGTTCGCTGGGTTAATTAGTCTGCTAATTGCACCCAATATTTGCACAAATAAAACATACATAAACACTTCAAAAACTAGTTCAGCAATTATACTTTCAGTAATAATAGCGGGAACCTCTGGCTTATGTCCTCCAAGTCGAGCAAAACGCAAGAAAAAGGGCAGACAACAGAGAGGATTTCAAACTCAAAAGAGCTCTCATTTATTTCGCCAGACAGACTTTGCGGTCAACTCACCACACCGCACCGTACCCCTGATTCCCAGCATAGAAAACCACAGCTAGACAAAATGTATCAAAATTTTGCAAGTTGGAATACATCCAAACCTTTTAGTGGCCTATCTATTAGAAAGTTATCTCCAGAGCACGCACTTAGCCAGACAAAAGAACCAGGTCAGCGCACCGGTGCCCTAATTAGCCCGCCAACAATGCGCCCGCCGGAGCTCGGCTGGCGATTTTTTTTTCTTTAGGCGGGTTGCTGAAATTTCACCCTCCGTGTTTTGGGTACACAGCTTATAATACATCCCCTGTGGGCAAACAAGGAAATACTGCTTTGCACGTGTCAAGCTGGGGCGTGTGTATGCCGCGCCCACGCCCATTATTTGCATAAACTTAAATATGCATTTACAATTCAAAGACCCATATTTCATTGAATAAAGACATTAAATATCATAGGTTTTTTTCTTGGAGTTTTTGGTTGTTGAGAATAAGTTTATTTAAAATGATATAAAATCATTTCCTCAATTCTTGGTGACAAATGTGTGAGTTATTACTATAAAAGTGATTTTTTTTATCTTCAATACTGTGACTAGGAAGTACACCGTTTTGTAGACTTCAAGAAGCTTCCAATATTAGATATGCTCGGTTCCTGTTTGCGAGTTAAGGGTCGGAGAGTCACAATAGCTGACGTACGCCACCCGCCGTGTTTGGGGTTCACGGCTTAATACGTCCCCCATGCAAACAAGGAATCCTTCACTCTAGCTTCTCTGGTGATTGTTAATCTTTAAATTACTGACGACTGAAGAACAACTGATTGTTGTCAAATACCGGACTTACCTGTGAAGAAATCATGCATGGCATGCTGACGTGCTCACGTATGTTGACTACATGTACATGTACATGTGTGGCATATTTTTGCTTTTGAGGGAATTTGGAATGGCCAAATAACCGAATATTCGAATATTCGATCGATTGGAAGGTCGAATATTCGAATATTCAATTATTCGAATTGACTCAGCCCTAAAACCTATGGAGACCTAGAAATTTTGTACGGCTTTTGTACGGCTATTTGCATATCTGCGTTTGTATTCCATACCGGTGCGTTACCGAAGCCAATATGCCCAAAACCGAAACGCACGATCAGCAAATGAGCATTTCGTTTTGCTCTACGCAAACAGCGCAACTTGTGCGCGTATTCGCTGCAGATGCTTTTTGCCGTCACGTTTTTTTAACCGTCATGACGCGCTTAAGTTGTTTGCGTATCTTCTACTTGCACGTTGCATGTAGAGTACACTTTCAAAATTCAATCCATCTAATTTCATTATGTTCTACAAACACGCACATGAATTCAAAATGTCTGCGCCCAGGACGGCTTCAAAGCGTCTCCGCATGCAGAATGACGAGTTAGCGCTCTAGTAATTTAATATAGCTCTATGGTTATCACTCACTAAAAGGAGCATATGTTTATTTCTTTTTGATGAACCTAAAACCTCAGTTCAATATCAGACCTGCTCTGACAAAACTCGACGAAGATGGCAAGTTTAAACATACGCCAAAACCTAACAAACAACATTTCAAAGGAAAGAAAATAGTTGATAAATCCTTAAAAGAAACAACTTACTATGCTATTCAGTATTCAACATGTCCAATGAGTTAAACTTCTCTCTCCTAATAAATAGTTACACTTGTTGAAGACTGACTTTTGAAAAATGACTTTTACTAACACAAAGTGAAACTTTTTTGAAGTGCAACTGTAAGAATACACGAATGGAACAATAAAAGATACATTTGTAGATGTACATGTACCTTTTTCAACAACCCCTGCAGGAAGACAGTGATGATTTGGCAACATTCAGTTGATCTGGTTGTTGCAATAAGCAACAAGAAATTCATCAGAATGACCCTCCGCTGGCCAGATCTCTGTTCTACACTGTCATGGTGATACAAAGGAAAGATATCGTTAGTTATCCAACAAGTGCTAGTGGAATACGCACTAATGTACGTGTTCTACATAACCCCTGAGGACCGACACACAAAGGGAGAACAACAGATCCTTTCAGTCCTCGGGCGTTGGGTCTTTTGTTCAAAACGGTCCTCTGTAGTAGGTTTGTGTGCTTAGTCTATGGGAGAGTGTTACATTACAGGGACAAAAAGAAACACAAAGCATTGTCCTCGAGAGTATAGTAAAACAAGAGTGTATGTAGTGGGTCTGTATCCACATGCCACGAGGTCGAAGGTCAAGTTGTATATGGAACACAGATGTGCATTTTACATGTTCCATAAGCACGAGTGGGATAATGCATTTATCTTCATGCAAACTTGTGGCATACGCTATAAATCACTTTTCAACACGTGTGTGCAGCAGGTATAGCACATGCATTTTACAATAACAATACGCAGTCTACAATACACAGATTGTATATTGGATGATATCACTCTGTTGTTGCCATGGATCAAGCGATCAGGATTGAGGATTCAAGGTTGCTTGAAGACAAAGCATTGAATAAAAAAAGCTAGATCTTAATGTAAAGTTGCAAAAAATTGCACATGAACACAGAACATTTTCCCATGTATTACGTGTAAATGTGATACACCGCGCATGCCAAGTCATAGAGAGAACAAATAAAATTGAATTGAAGTTCTTGTTATGAAAAAGTCCACAATTCTAAAAACTACCGACTGTGCAACATAATTTACTGTATGTATTCTTCAACTTATCTGTGGACAATAAAAAGTTGTTAGTAACTGGATGACTGACATCATATCAGTCAGTTACTGCTGCTCCCATAAACTTCTGTGCATTTATTCAGCTACTGTAATCACAAAGGGAAATCACTGAACATATTTTCCTTTGGCCAGAAATTTGTAGAAATCCTACCATGCGACGATATCGTCCTTTACAGCCTGAAGATTGCTCAGTTGTAGCAAGTACACACTGGTGTCTTGCTGTAGCCTAAATATAAAAGAAAGACCACGTCAGTAAAGAGGAATTAATACATTGTATAGACTTGGATGATTCCAGGTCAAAATTGAGTAGAATTGATTCCAAAGTTGGAATCGGCATAATAAAGCAAATTCTTTGACATGTTTGAGGAATCAATTCCCAGTTATAGCAATTCAGTTCCCAAAGAATAGAATCCAGAGAATTCAAATTCCATATTTGTGGCAAATTATAATCTTTACTAGTTTCTTATAACTCCTTTTAATGACACTGTTAATAGTGAGTAAATACCGTCGTTCATTAGTGAAATTATGACAGCCTTTCCTCAGCGCAGCTCTTGAATTGCCTAAGCCAATGTCAATTGTGTGTCAATGGGAAAAATGGCAGTGAATAATGACATCGAGTACCGAGCTTGGATCATAATTATCTTGCCACATGCTTTTAATACTCTAAATTGCTTTGTTTGACAATTGTTTGCTTTGACACTTGTTTTGGGGTTGCTTTTGCATACAAGTTGCACGGTTTTACTGTTTGTCATATGCCACAATTCTGTCGTGAAGCCCCTTGACCCGCTTGATTTGAAAGCTCCTGTTGGGATTAGCTCAAAATTCTTTCTTTTGTCAAAAACAGCCCTTCTAAATACCTCGAAAATTATTTTCTTTATGCCGTGTTGTAACACTAATTCCCTTGAGTGATTTCCTAGGAAAATAATAATTGTAATAGTGTGTATTTATAAAGCGCACGTATCCACCAGTATTGGTGCTCAAGGCGCTACATCATTACCCTGCTCATTGGGCAAATGAAACATTCCAATTACCTTCCCCACTCCTGCAAATTCCAACACCATATGGTAACTCAACACCCAAACTGTTGGACTCTGATTATGGTGGTATGCCTGACCCCATGTAAAACACAATCAGTTTACCAGTGTAGTACTCACTCCAACAGATTCCAACAAACCCTGGTTTTGGAGTTTGACTGGATGGGGCTTAATTGTTACGGTTAATACACTCTTTGTCAATTTCGACAAGCACAGGTGCACGCAGAATTCCGATCGACAGCCAGATTGGGCTGGCACAGGTAAAACTTTGGAATCAACACATTTCGAATATTCGATGAAATCCAAAGCAGGATAAGCGAATATTACATTATTTGAAAAAGCAAAAGCACTAGTTCTTCAAGGCTCACTTGATATCTTTACTGACTCTCGATCCCATACTGCACATCTGTATCAGTAACGGCAGGTGATTGGTGATGGCTTTCAGGGCTGGTGTCCTACCCTCCTCATCGTCCAGCTGACTTGCCCACTGACTGCACAGATGCCTGGCAAAGACTGCTACAATCTTGGGTTTACCCTCACCAAGGGTTAAGATGTTGCCAATGACCTGTTGGTTATAAGAATTGCACAAGGAATTGTTATTATGATACAACTTAAAACAAAAAGCAGGAGTGATTTTTCCAACTTTCACTTGGGAGGTAACACACTATAAAAGTATACATTGTTTATATGTCGGTGAAGGGCAAAAACCTAATATTGAAATAAAAACTTAGGCAAAATCCGTAACTTGAGAAAAATATTTAATACTATCGCAGCTGTAGTCAAGCCTCACAAGTTACTGGAGGATCTTCAGTCATAAGTCAAGTTATACCTATTCAAACGAACTATGCTAACCCTGTTATGTACTGCCCCCAACCTCCCATCCTATTACTCCCTGTAGCGCTAGAAACCGCACTTGCACTCGATGAGTTTATGGATTCAGTAGTGAATAAACACAATGTAATACAATGCAGTACAGGTGCTAATGAGTTAAAGTCGTTTCTTTTGCCATTGTTCATTGCCTTTAAATTTTGAGCTTACATGTACTTGTAGATTGGCACTGAGAGATAATAATATTCTCAGTCTAAAGACTAATACGGTAAAATTAAAAAGCAATTCAACGTTTGTAATATGTTCTGTTTACTTACTCCACTTACATAGTTCCTAAGGAAAAGAATGCATGATTCAAATAGCCATAACATTTTAGGCAATTAGATACAGATGGATAATCAGCTAGATTAATTTTTTTTTTGGATTACCTTGGCCAGAGCATCATGTATCTCTGTTCCCTCCTCCGCCACCAAGAAGCACTGTTGGAAGATCAGCTCCACTGCCGAGGAGTAAACAAACCAGAACTTCTGAGCTTTCCCCCTCCACTCATCCAGGGAGGTAGACCAGGCAGCATCCACTAGGTCCAGACACAGGGATATGGTGTCCTGACCAATCTGGGCAAGCAAACATATAACATGAATGTTAGCCATGGAAGTTTCAGAATAAATTATGGCTTCTGTCCCGGTATGGAGTACCGAAGTGAATACGTCACTCGCTCAAAATGTGTGTGAAAGACATTAGTGCGTGATTCAGCCCATGAACCAACACGCACAATTACTCCATTCATTTACACTTCACTTTCTGGTTCTAATTGACGTCACACTTCGGTATTTCATAGACCTTTACCATGTTGCAGCCACCTAGATTTTTTTCCCATTCAAATCAACGTAACCGAAGCGAGGCTGGAAGGAAAAACAGTCTGGTTCATTTTTGCACAAAAGCATCATCCTTCAGTAATTGTATACAGGGAACCTGACTGAAATATAATGCTGGCAGTATGATAAAGGCCTATTGCTGAAATGATAGTTGACAATATTAAAAGCAAATTTCAACCATAGTCCCTGTACCCCCCTCAAACCGCTCTGCCTAATACTCCCTGCACTGCCCCAAAACCGCCTGAGCACTCTATGGTTAATTGGATTCTTCTGTGAATAAACTCAATGTAATACAATGTAATTGGCCTACAAATGACAGGTGCCATTGGGAATGGAGCCACTGGGAAGAAATTTTTGTTAAGCAAAATTGTGTGTGCTAGCACACAACAGCTGATAACCAGTTAAATGCAGCCAACATATCTGACCATCTTTACTTGTAACCTGATCAAATTAGGTTTTGCCCTTCACGGATGTATAAACACTGTATACCCAGTGTGTTACCTCCCGAGTGAAAGTTGGAAAAAAATCACTCGGGTGGGACTCAAACCCGCGACCTCCTGCTTTCTAGTGCAGATGTCTTACCACGTTAGCTAGGTGGTCGAGTGGTAAGACATCTGCACTAAAAAGCAGAAGGTCCTGGGTTCAAGTCCCACTTGAGTGATTTTTTTCCAACTTTCACTCGGGAGGTATGAGTGTACAGTGTTTATATGTCGGTGAAGGGCAAAACCTAATTTGATTTACATCACCCCGATGCAAAATTCCATCTTATGAATGCTTGTATCCTGGTTATTCTGTATTTAACAAAATTTCTGTGCCTAACAGTTCCACAAACTGCATGGGTCCCAGATCACGTAGTCACTTACCTTGTTCACCAGCACCTTGGCACACTGCATTATTGGCACTGCATCAGGACCCTTGACCAACGTAAGATCCCTGACACAAGCAGCGAGAATCGCTTCATCTGATTGGCCAACAGGAAATAGTGCAGTGCCTGATCCACGATCCCGAAGCAGTATACTAAAGCACTGCCACTTGGTGCACAATAACAGGTTGGAGATTTTGCGAAGGGATGTGGTGGCACTAGCATTGGGCCTGGGGAAGGGGGAGATTGAAAGTTTAAGCTGATCAGCTTTGATTTTGGGCGATATGACAACCTTCATCTAACTTTCAAGTCCTGTGCCTATACAAGTCAACCGACAGTCAAGCAAGATCTTTTCAATCACCATTCAAGTCACCATACCAACAGACTGTGTGACAAGGGCATTCCTGTGTCAATTTTCATCCCCTGTTAATTACTTGTGAATTGACATGTGATATTACTTGTGATTTGACATATGATGTAACTTGTGATAATTTTATGACACATGATTTGACATGTGATTGGACAAGTGATTTGACATGTGATGGACTACAACTCTGCTCATTAGTTATACCCCTGGATATGTCACACATCTCGTATCCCAAGAATAAACATGCCCTGGCCTACACCATGTTATGGGGAAGTTTGTTATTGCTAGGCAAATTAGGACTGAGTTATGGGGACTTTCTGCTGTCTCACACAATAATGCCAGCAACAAATTCCACGGATGCATGAGCAAGAGGGGACAATACTGAATTTAGGAGATAAAAACATCCATGAATGCTTTTTTTTTCTTTTCAATTTTCCAGAAAGCAGGAGGTCGTGGGTTCGAGTCCCATCTGAGTGATTTTTTTCCAACTTTCACTCGGGAGGTCACACACTGAGTATACAGTGTTTATACGTCGGTGAAGGGCAAAACCTAATTTGATCAATTTTCCAGTGGTTCCAATTTCTAATAAGAGGGTTTCAATATAAATCTGGGTCACTGCCCAACTTGGCGATTGAAAATGTTGAATTCAAACAGCCTTCTAGTGTTTCAGAAAGACCTTGCAACTTACAATGATGTTTGAAGTTTTAACTTACATGCCCTTGAGGGTAGTTGCATCGTCTTTGAAAGTTAGCAATGGTGACAGCGTATCCCACGGCAATTTGAGTAAATCGCTACCACGGTTCATCTGTAACAACCACAGAAGCAGACGGCAGGCTACAAACGCCTGAAAGTGGCCCAGCAGGGAATTTTTCTGGAACAAAATGTCGAAAAACAAATATGATGGTATGATTGTGGGGACAGCTGACGAGGCCAGATAAAGACAGACAGTGGTGAAAGTGGATTGAATATATAATATCTACATGTACCATATGCTGGAATGAAATCTACAGGGTGGGTAAAAACAACGTAACCCAAATGGCAGTACATGTATCAGTTTTTGAATAAAGTTTTGCCTGTAACACTTTCAAAATCTAGGATATGAAAACCCAATCAATGAGCTTTCTTTTAGTACAAGAATCATTCAAATCACCGATGTACTTTTCAAGTTACGGAATTGTGAACACAAACACCATTTTAAACTTCTGTGCCCGGATCACAAAAAATGTGGTCAGTGGACAGAACTTTAGTGTTCAAAATTCTGTAACTTGAAAAGTAGTGATTTGAATGATTCTTGTTCTACATGTACTAAAACAAAGCTTAATGACTGGGATTTCATATCCTTGACAGTACTACAGGCAAAACTTCATTAAATAATTGGTCCTGTCACTTGGGTTTCTTATTTTTTATTTAGCTTTGTCTAAAATCACAATAGTCGACAACTGTTAAATACATTACAACAAGTGTGTGCAGGTACGCCATTCCTTCATCTGACAAGACATGTATCTTAAATACCTCTTTATTCTCCATGCTTTGAGTCATGAGAAGCTTACAGCACTCTGTCAATCTGGTCTGTCCATTGGCAAGAACATTCCTCAGGAGGGAGTATCTTGGGCATTTCTTCAAGAAGGCATGGGTAGACTCCAGGACGGAGATGTACAGTGAAACCCTGCTGATATCTGCTGACTTGGAAAACAAATATATCAGAGTAAGTCTGTTTCAAAATCATGGACCTTCATAAAAACGTCTCCTGTGAGTTCCAATCTCTGAGAATCGGGACCACTTTTGTGAGCCTCTGCGAAAAAAAGGCGCGTGTAAAAAAAGTCCTACTTTTGACACTAAATAACTCTGTTGTTTAACCATTAACAATGGAATTAAACTGCAACCTATCACCCTCAAACAAATGTTTAAACTGCAGTGATTTAATTTATTTCTTGAATGGTGAGTATCTTTTTGACTAATTGACTTTTGACTTGGGTTTTAAAAACGCCATATCACACATCAACGTTATCAGCATTTGTTAATTGTATTCAAATACACCAATTCTTGTGTGAAGATTTTTCACTCTACCTGGGCTATATCAGATGAAAGAAGGCGTCGGTTTATGAAGGAATACATTTCCTCCAGGCATGAGGACAACACAGAGAACATTTCTTGCCTCACTTGATCTGTAACCAAGGAAAATAAATTCTTCCATATTGACAAAAAATTCCTCCAGATTGACAGAAAAGAACTATTTGGTTTTTGTTTTAACAAGTTTAAGAGGAAATGTTTGAAACAAAAGTTAGAAGAGAGTCACAAAGAAATCAGAAGACAGATTCATTTGGTAAGCACTTCTATGGGGGCATTTTCTTCTGACAAAATTTAAACTTCATTTGTTTACTTTATGGTACCTCCAACAGTTTAATTAAGCTGTTGTTTTTTTTAATTAAACAATAACACACAAAGTCTCGCATAGGCAAGAATTTTTTTAAATATAGTTTAATTTAAATTTTGTCCAAAAGTGGTAATAAAAAGTTGGAGGTCGGCAAACTTTGACGACAAAAAATCCAGGTAAGAGGTTACCATACACACACAAATTTGTCCAGCCTCATGAGAAACAAGGGCAGCACAGTTGTCACAACTTAAAGTCCACAAGCCTAAAACAAAACTCATCCTCATAAAATCTAAAAATTCTTCTGTTGAAACCATTACCCTTATCAGTTGATTCTTCATCGGGGCTTGGATGGAGGAGGTACTGTAATATACCATGCAGAAGCTGAAGGGCCGTGTCAGCCTTAATGATTGGTAGATAGATGTGGCTGCCGATACTGGACAGGACCGTAATCAATGGAGCCAGGATACCTTGCAGAGAAGACTCACCATCAGATGGATGACTAGAAGGCAGTGATGAACCACTGTTAGATAAATATGAAGAGATAAAAGCTGTACTGCAAGGTTGATATTTGAGTGAAGACCAGGGAGGCACGTCCTGCTGGGGGGTCCGAGGCCATACAACCCCCCCCCCCCCCACCCACCCACCCCCGAATACTTAAAGGGGCAAAAGCCATTCAAATATTCGGTGATGATTTCAAGGCAATGTAGAGCAAGATCAAATATTACATGATTTTGAGCAAATCATAGGATTCAACATTACAAGAGATTGTAAATGTCAGAAAATTGTGACGATCTCTTTGTTTAATTTGAGTTGTATGCAACATGCGGCTGCAAAAATGTAAAATAAGTGATCAGAAGGCCTCTGGTTGCTTGCCGGATGTTCTTGTATGTATGTAATACATTCAACCAACTATTAGTAAGGATGGGCAGGTCAAGCATGAAAAAGGTTGCAAAGGGGTCCGTAAGAATATTACCGAGAAAGTTCCACAAAAGTGGCAAGAGATTAAGGATGAATGCACTCAGTACAATGATCAGTAACGTGTGGAGCATCTTATTGTTGGGTCTCGGTTGTGGATTAATTACTGTGAGGGCAGTTGGACTGTCAGGCGTCGGTGATGGCTGGAAATCAGAAAAGGTCTGATATGTGTACGTTATCAGAACAGAGCGCATGTTACTGTACATGAATGTATCACGCGAGTATACATTATATATGAGGAATGAAATCCTTGGTTCGAATGAGAGCACAAAAAAGAACTATTACCCTGTACTCAAAGTGTCCTTCTGCCCTTAAAGTTGTATCTAATCGATATCAACAAAAGAGCTGTAAAAAATCATGACAGGAAATCATGCCCGTTACAGTTACAAGTGAATGGTAGTGGAGTGCATGCACCACTGAAATTTAACGATATCAAGAGCAGACACAAGTTACCGGTAGCTGTATTTTATACAGGGTTAGTCAAAAAAAGCGCAACCCAAACCCCCAAAGTAACATTTCATGTTAAAAAAAAATATGCAGCACCAAAATAAAGTGACAGGAAAGCCAATTTCATAAGCTACTTTTAGATGAAAAAAATTACTGAAATTGCTCAATCCTTTCAAAGAATATAACCATTTAAACAAAATGACCCTAAAACCTCTTTCGTCCAAAAATGCGATTTCAAGAATCGTCATCACAATTGTCTTCAATTTATCACCAGCGATAAAACCTCAGTTTAAAAGCTAAAAAAAAAAGTCTTTTTGAAGGCCCGTCAATTAAAAAAAGTGGATTTTATGAATCATATTGTTTGCCTAAACAGGGTTGTTAATAAAAATATTGTGTACTACAGTTGTTGAAGCAGTATTCTATGTCATTTTCTATGTTGTTCCAAACAGTCGGAATACACAACAAATTTCTTTTATTTTTTTGGACGAAACAGGTTTTAGGGTCATTGCGTTTAAATGGTGAGATACTTTGAACTGATTGAGCAATTTCAGTAATTTTTTTTTTTTCATTAAAAAGTAGCTTATGAAATTGGCTTTCGAGTCATTATTATTTTGGTACTATATAGCTTTTTAAATGTGAAATATAATTCTTGGGGTTTGGACTCACCATGTACATATCCCATTTAAGCTTTATTTACATACAACACTGTTATCTAATTCTTGCACATAGAATCCTCGTTGCAATCAAAAATTAATATTGGCCATCAATCACTTGACAAAATTGCTTACAATTGGCAACCTGGCCTTGACATTGACTAATTGGCTGATATGAACACAATCTCCATTAGCTGCTTCAAGCCAATCTTCTACCTATTATTATAAGCGATGTGTGATCCTCTTCGCAATTAAAAAGTAATATTTGCTGCCAATCAAATGACAAATTGACTTGCAATTTGGAAACCCGGTCTTTACTTTTGGCCCAACTTGACTAAATGGCTGATAAGAACATCAATTATTAACAATCTTTATTAACTTCTGTTTGCTAATATACTATCTTAATAAGCATTGTGCCTCCAAAAATAAAATGACAAAGTGTCATGCACCCTACATGTATCCTCTTGATAAAAGAAACATTGACTGAGAGACAATTCCTATCATAATTGTATCTACATGTATAAGTCAGTTTGAATGCGACTTTGATCTCTCATATTTCACATGTCTCCTTTCACAAAGAGAAACATTGTTTTTCATCAAAATATCAATGAAAGCTACATCTACATGTATGAACATTATCAATTGGTTTCTTTTTACTTAAATCTATGAAATTGTCAACTTTAAAAAAAGATCTACAAATTTGATGAAGTTATACTGATAATTTCTTTCTCTCCGACGTAAAAGGTCTGATTTCAGACAACAGTCTGTAAATCTTGTGACTGCTAAAACCTTTCGGTTCAAACAAGAGGTAAACTTTAAAATTCATACATTGCTTGCCCACAGATCCATAAGGACACAGATGTTAGATGAAATTGACATAATCAATCAATCAATTTTACTACTGAATTAAGTCATCAAAATCTGGATACTTTTCAAAAATATGTTAGCTTGCATTCTACATTGCTGTCAAAATTGATTACAGTGTACATTTTTGATCTACATGTACCTACATGTACATGTACATGTAGTTCAAAAACAGCCAGTGTGTCATTGGCCTGGTGACCTTTGATGAACAGGATGATCAACTGGAACATCCACGTGAGCACCTACATGTACAGGTTCTACAGTCCATACATATCCCTGGAAAACTAGGCCAATTAGATGACAGGAAGGGGTGGGGCAAGGGTGAGGCAGGGATTGGAAGTGTAACCTGGAAAAATGACACACTATGGGGAACTCGCACTAAAACTACTACAACTAAACTAAACTCAGGATCTTTGAAGGGAAAAGGCGCAAGGAGATTGAATTAATAGGGACAAGGGACACAATTCTAGATTTCGAACAAAAAAAAGACAAAAAGAATTTATTCACAAGAACTTTCAAAATGACCAGTTAATTATAAAACCAAGACCACGAAAATCAAGTAAGAGCAAAGACTAAAAACCAAAACTTAAACCAAAAAACAAAGACTCAAACCAAGTTAAAAACCAAAGTATTTAACCAACACAGTGTGTATATTAGTAGACCTTAAGACACTTCTGGCAGAAAATCTGTAAAACAAGATAAACAGGGGGTCACACTACTGAAGGGGGGGGGGGGATCTTGAGTAACTAAAATGATTTCTTTGTTTTCTAAGGGGAGCTACTCCTATTTAATACACTATACATTATGAAAACATACAACTAAAACTGGGCCCTGCCACAGAAGCAATGGCCAGGGGTCGTCACAGGGTTGGCGGTTGAGGCAAAGGTTGACAGGGTTGGGAGATTTATTGGGAGGGGGTTGGGCAGGGAAGGGGTGGTAATAGGTGTTGGGGTGGGAATGGGTGGCCATGTGGTGTAGGGGTTTGGCAAGGATGAGAATTGGTAGGAATGAGGCAAGGTTGGGCATGGCAAGCCGTTCGGACTGGCATTTGGCAAGGATGGACAGGGTGATGTATGGGACAGGAGGTTTGGCAAGGGGTAGGGCAGGGGTGGTGGGGCAGGGGTGGGGCAGGGGTTTGAAACGGTGGCCATGGGTTGATGGACAGGGGTTGGAGAGTTGTTGAGAAGGGGCGAAACAGGGAAGGGGAGGTTGGACAGATGTGTAGAAATGGAGAAGGGGTGGGAAAGGGGTGGGGAAGGGTGGGTCAGGGTTTTGAAGTGGTGGCCAAGGGACATCGCAGGGGTGGGAGCAATGATGGACAATGATTAAACAAATAAACATTATACAATAGATCATTCACAAAATTTACATTCCATTTTTTTATTTGCTCTGTAATTGCTGCAGTGATATGAATACACAGTAAATCCCAAGAAGCTCTAATTAATTAACATGATTATTCTAAATTGATAATTGGTAACAGTATTTTTTACGTACAATCGATCATATCTACATGTAAATGTACTTGCAACAACATGAACAAAGGCTATTTATTTACACATAAATTTCACAGATTTCTGGTTGTTTAGAAATAAATACAAATGGAGTCAGAAATAACCTGACATGCCTGATGGTATCAATGACTTTCAACTTCAAGTGTCCATCATTCCCCCCCCCCCCCTTCTCTCTCTTTCTTAATTGAAGTGTGTTAACTAGGTACAAAAATGTAGGGCTGTCCAATTACTTGACACTGTATTTGACCGAATACTCGGATATCCGAAACTGCCAGTTGCAACAGTGTGCCATTCTGGTCATAAGTTGCATGTTAACTGCACCACTTAAAGTTTTCGTGCGGCGATCGATCTTGCAGTAAGTATTTTATAAATGTCAAAGTGTGTGTGTGTGTATTTTTTTTTTTTTTCGAATATTCAAAGAGGCAAAAGCTACATGTACATGTATTTGAATATTCTGATATTTTGAACAAGGATTCTTACACTGTATAATTGGTACATTCTGCACAGCCCTATCAGTAGGGTGTCTTAAGGCAATGGAGAACAAGATCAACATTGAATGATTTTTGAGCAAATCATACGATTTAACATTGAAAGAGATTGTAAATGACAGAAAATTATGACTGCTGATCTCTTTGTTCAATTTGAGTTGCACAAAAAACGTTGCTGCCAAAATGTAAAGTAGGCCTAAGTGATCAGCAGGCTTCTAGTTGCTTGTCTGATGTCCTTGTTCCTGAAGAAATAAATGAATACATTCAACCAACTAGTAGTAAGGATGGGCAGGTCAAACATGAAAAAGGTTACAAAGGGGTCCGTAACAATGTCACCGAGAAAGATCCACAAAATGGGCATGAGGTTGAGGATGAATGCACTCAGTACAATGATGAGTAACGTGTGGAGCATCTTATTGTTGGGTCTTGGACCACCTCCTTCGAGGGCAGCTGGATTGTCAGCATGGATGCGCCGTTGGTGATGTCGGGAAATCAGAAAGAGTCGGATGTACGTTATCAGAACTGTGAGCAGAGCGGATGATACTGTGCACGCAAATATCACTTGAAAGAACTTCAAAGTCC